TTGCTTGATGGCCAGACAGCAGCTGCTGGACTGGCTCTAGACATCTGAGCCTTTTTTAAGAGCTGAAAGTCTGTGAAATTCTTTACATTGGATGTTGAGCAGCAAAGAATAGCTTCTTGTAAGTGTGGTAGATTGCGTCAGGGTTTGGATCTGGGCTTGATACCTAAAGGTTGCTGGTTTAAATCTCAGAAGGGGCCTGTGAGGACTTTTTGGTTTCTGTGTCAGATCTGTACAGTAGGTCCCAAGTTTGGATCATATAATGTAAGACAAAGAAGATCCTTGTTCAGGCTGCAAGATGCACACAGATGATAGATTCTACTCTAATGTTCACATTTAGCATTTTGAATCAAAGGGTACATGTGCTTGTGGTGTGAGATGTTACGCTGACAGCTGACTACCTGGACATGCTTCTCCATCAAACTGCACTAAGAATGCAGAGGATGATTCCCCGATCTCATCAGGTGGTGGTCAGAATAGTGCCCTGGGGAGGAGGGTGTAGATCAGGGGGGTGGGAGGGATCCAGCCCAGCGTTTGTTGCATAAGAGAGCAGGATGGGATTTGCACCCACGCGTGCAAAATGGCCACTAAAAGTATCAGTTACATTTTCTCACCCCACCAAACCACATGAGGAGACCTGGAGCAAATCCAGACTCTGATCAGACCAGCTATGATCGCTGGGTCATTCTCCACCAGGGTTGGGCCATTCCGGAATGCATCGATCAATTCCAGTCCAAATCAAGAAATGGAACTGGAGCTGGGATTGGAAACAAAACTATGAGGAACAGAATTGGAGTTGAATTTGAATTTCAGGGAGATTTAAGTTCCAACTCCAGTTCCATTTCCTGATTTGGACTGGAATTGATCAATGCATTCTGGAATGGCCCCAGCCCTGTTCTCCACACTGCTACAGAGCTTCAGATCACTACTTCTGATGATTTTTGAACTTCATTACATTTACGCATTTAACAGACACTTTTTTCCCAAAACGACATACAAGTGAGGCAAATGCCAATTGTTAGCACACTGCAAACATTCAGTACGTGCTGTTGAGGAGTCGACTAGGCTTAAGTACAGCTAGGCTGAGCTTCCAGTGAATGCCCAGGTACAGCTAGGCTGAACTTCCAGTGAATGCCCAGGTACAGCTAGGCTGAGCTTCCAGTGAATGCCCAGGTACAGCTAGGCTGAGCTTCCAGTGAATGCCCAGGTACAAGTGTAAGCAGGACTGGAGCAGGAGCTACAGAACAACTTCTAACACAGCCAGAACCTAATAAGACTCTTCAGTGTCACAACGGCGCTCTGGCCCAGAAGATCTTGTCTACTTGGGTTGCATGATGCATTTCTGTGGCTCCTATTCTGAAATGTACTCTTTAGGTAAAATTAAGTCACATAAAAAGCTGTCTTGATATAAACTGGGTAGGCTCCAATATTAAACCATTTAAAAATACCCACTGCTGCAGAACTGCCCCCAGGCTGGACATACGGGCTGGGGGGGGGGGTCACACAGGTCACTGTGGAGACTCCTCAGTGCAAACTGTGTCCCCCCCCCCCACCACCAGCTGGGGAAATGCAGAGCCAGGGAAATCCACAAACTTGGGGCAGGAGGATCTTATTCAGTTCCATCCTGGACTTGGCAGCTTCTGAATGGCAAAAGTCACCATTTGTCACCCAAAGGACAAGATGATACTGTCACTTTCACCTTCCGGAGTAATTCCAGCCAGGGAACGCTGTCCTTTGGGTCAGGCCCAGGTCAGGTAGGTCCGAGATATGCAGAAACAGCAGTCACCCCTGTCACAGCTATTTATTAAGGTCATGTCTTCAGGAGGCACCCAGGCAACCGCTCATAGTAGAGGGATATTTATAGCGGTGGGGGTGGGTGCGGGGGTCTGTTGGGGTTTAGAAATGAACCTTTAAATAGAAAACAACAGTAGGAGTAGAGTTGGGAGTGGTGCAAGCAGCGCGTCAGTCTGTGTGTTTAGTCACTCTGCAGGTCACATGATGTGTAGTTTACCTTCTGTCTAAACCATGCGTGACAAAGATAGATAACGGGCAGCATTGCATGTTTTCTCCAAAAATGGTGTCAGTTGAAGAGCATCTGCTGCTTGTGTGGGCGATGTAGGAGCTGTGAGAGAGAGAGGGCGAGCGAGAGACTGCCTGCTTTGGCCCTGGATGGAAACACCGAGAGCGAAAAGGCGGGTCGAGGCAGCGTTCGCAGGAATCGCCGTCTCCGCAGAAACTCCCTGGCGCTCCTGGCTGGTTCGCTTACTCCTTCCCGCTGACTTCCTGTTCAAGTGCAGTAGGGAGGATAAACTGCAGAGGAGCCTTTGGTGAGGTCACACCAGGCTGACTGCGTCCCAGGAGTAATCCAGGCCGATGCAGTGGGACACTAGGGTCTCCTGGGCACCAGAGGATGATGGGGGTGGCCGGCGCTGCTGGGCAGAGCTGAATGATTTTCCTGACCACCAGGATCAGAAGGTCAAGTGATCTTTAAAGAGAGATAATTCAACAGATAAAATTGAAGACTGATTAAGTAAAAACAGATCCCTACACGACATGCAGATTAATGGCCCGGAGATGAAAAAAATGCTTCTCATTGGAACGGGAGTATTGCAGCATCCGTCCGTCCGTCCATCCATCCATCCATTCATCTTTATTCTTATCCTGGTCAGGACCACAGTAGAGCACATGGCCAGGGTACAGTCTGCACCATGACCTTCAGCAGGACTGACCACAGTCTCTGCTTCCAGCAGTAAGGCTTCTTCTTTCCAGGAGGGGGGAGGGACACCCAAGGTGCCATGAAAAGCTCTCTTCTGTCATCTGGTTTAGCTTTACAGCTTCCTGACTGACCGCGGTTTCCTCATCCCCCCCCCCACCATCTGAAAAACAGAAACACTGTCTGCGTTCACTGCTTTGCCAGTGACTGCAGTTTCTTAGCAGTTTTCTGACCTCATTTTGTCCCTAAATCACAATCACGATGATCTTTATTGCCCAAGTATATTAAACATACAAGGACTTTGTTTTGGTGGCTGTGCCCTGGTTTAACATATAGCATGCAAGGCAATTCAAGGCAATTTGCTAGTGTGTACACATGCAATTTTGCATACATTTTATTCTAGACTGTTTACATACAGTCAAATGCAATAAAGGTTTAAAAAATGACAGAAAGAATGAAAGAAAGAAGCATAAGGATTAATGTGAGGAAGAGTTATAGGATGTCAGCTGACTGAAGTGCAAAGTGTCTGTTGTTAGCAGACCAGTCACTGTTGGTGAGGGACACTGCAGTGGAACAGAAACTGTCCCCGTATCTGGTGGTTTTAGCTCTGAGTCTCCTGCCTGAGGATAAAGGCTGGAAGAGATAGTGTCCTGGGTGGGAGGGGTTGGGGGGTTCCTCTCTGTTTGGCAGGTTAAGGAGGGGGGGGCTTTCTTATATGCATTTATTTGGTTTGCTAACACTGTGGTCTAGCTACTACGCTGAAACACATTTGATTGGTTACCGTGAATGGTAATGCAGCAGGACATAGAAATGCACACCATCAAGTTGCAGCAGGAGATACAAATGCACACCATCAAGTTCCAAGTCTGTGTCTTTGATCCACCAGAGAGCCCCCTGCCCCAGCACCCTCATCAAGTTTGCTGTCGTGCTCGCTTGGATCTTCAGTAATGGTGAAACGGCCAATCAGAAGGAGATGGAGAACCAGGCATGCTGGAGCCTCGTGAATATCAGCAAGACCAAAGAGTCATTTGTGGACTTTGGGAGGAAACCGCTGAAGCACTGCAACCTCCTGCGATCAACTGGGCGTCTGTGGAGATGGTGCCCAGCTTCAGATACCTGGGTGTCCGCAGTGCAAAGCAGAGGCCTTCTTCAATAAGGCCAAGGTTTCCATTTGATCAGGATGCCTAAGAAGCTCTGAAAGCATTCTACACATGCACTGCGGAGAGCATCCTGACTTGGAGCATCACCACCCGGTTCAGGAACTGCACCAAGCGGGACAGCACAGCCCAGTGTGTGCACTCCCTAACCTGCAGGTCAGCCACAGGAGGCGGAGCAGGGACAGAGCAATGAAAATAATTAAAGATTCAATCCGCCCCAACAAACGGCCTCTTCTGGCAGTCAAGGTCAGGGAGGTGCTACTGCAGCCCGAAGGCCAACACCCAGACACTCAGAGCAAGCTCCTGCCCTCAGGCTGTCTGTACACCAAATGAGGACTGAATGAGGACTCCCCATGACTAACAGGCCATTTTCCAAACTTTATACCATCCCACACTTTTCATTCTACGCCGTTTTACAGTTATTGATATTGCTTTTTATTTTTGTCTTTTTTTGCCGTTTTATTTTTATTTTATTATATCATTTTAATCTCATTTATTCCTGTCGACCTTTCTGATATTCTTTTTCTTTCTTCATATTACGCATTTCCTTTTAAGCACAACCCAGGAAGCAGGTGCAAAAGCATTTCACGACACGGATGTACACTGCATGTTTGTGCGTGTGACAAAGACTTGAGACATGAAGATAACCGCTATGCCCCCTGCTGGCCTGTTTTTGTCAGTATGAGACAGTGGGTCTCACTGAGAGAATACAGCTGACCTCTGAAGCTATACCACCCTGCTGAGAGGAACAAGGGTGTGAAGAGATTGTGATGTGGGGGTCTTTCAGTTATGAGCTAATATGGCTGGATGTCCCACTGCTTTGGAGGAGGGGGGGGGGGGTGAGGCGGGAAGTGATTGCAGGTGAAATCATGGCCTTTGTGAAGGTGTCACCAAGTTTAATTTAGCACTTCTCTGCCCATCCCCATACTGGGTGTTCTGGTGAAGCCTTGTGTTCACGCTGAGATTGTGGAGATCCTCTTTGAAGCTGAGTTCTGATCCCCTGAGCTTCAGTCAGTCTGATCTGCTCCCCGCAGCAGAGCAGTCGACGTTCCAGAATTCACGGCCCAGTTTCGTATCCGCCGGCCGTCAGGTGATGAGACCGCGTGTGACGCTTGTGTCCCCTCTCGTTGCAGGCGGCACCAGGGACATCGGCTCCGCTCTCACCAGGAGGAGCATAGAGGCCAGGCTGCGGAAGTTCTCAGCGTGAGTGTCCCACGTTCTCACCCAGCAGCTGCCCAAGCAATCCAGGGCTTTTTGATACTAACTATACCTTTTAACATTAAAGGTTCCTTTTTTGGGAAATATTTTGGGGTGGATCGATAACATCTGTAGCAGGGGTCACTAACCTTTTTGAAACTGAGAGCTACTTCACGGGTACTGAGCCATACGAAGGGCTACCAGTTTGAAACGCCCTCCTAAACTTATCTAAACCTCATGTATAATAAACATGTTTTAAATGCTTTTTTTTTAGATATTGTCATTTTCAAATCTATATAAATGCAAATGTGATTAAAGAAGAATAGCAACAGGATAAAATTAAATTTTAGACGCTGCTGATTGGTGAGTTGTGCTATTTTTAGAACAGGTCCTCGGGCGACCCCTGCTCTATAGTAATGATGTTGATGATGATGATGATGATGGGATCTTAATGAGAACATTCCTCCATCTCCTCCTAGGCTTTTACTGCCTGAGCTCCAGGTGGCTGTGGCAGATCTTAGAGCTCAGCTCTGTGACAGTGCAGCAAACCACAGGGACTCTGATTAAGGGGTTTCCCCATGCAGTGCAAGGACAGTGTGGTGCAGTGCAGGGACAGTGTGGTGACAGTTTGATAGAGATACCCCGTGGGTCGCACTAGAGGAGAAGTTCAGCCTCTCGCTGGGCACCACCATAAATAAGTTTTTTTTTATGTATGATTTATTTATATCATTTTCACAACAAAAACAGAAACATTACAAACCTTTAAGGGCACAATCACGAAAGTTATGGGAGAAGTACTATTCGGTACAATAAACTGAACAGTTGTAAGGAAATTACTAATACGATAATAGGAGGGTGACATACAGTGTGTTATCGATCCTCAGCATTAAAAATGACGCTGAGATATACATACAGATGTCTGCCTAAACCACAAAGATATCGGACAGAGATTCGACATAGTTAAGAAATTTTTGCCAAATTTTGGAAATTTTACCTTATAATCTTTTCAAGCTTCATATGGAAAAGGGCATCCTTTATCCAGGGGGAATGAGAGGTGTTGGGAGGATATTAACTGAGGAAATGGCTGAAAGAGAATCAAAAACAGACTTCCAAAATGAAGATAAAGCTGGACAGGACCAGAACATATTGGAAAGGTCTGCTGGACCACAATGGCATTTGTCACAGTTCAAATCGGTGCCGGGATAGATACGGGCTAATTTACTTTTGGACCAGTGGACTCTATGAACCACTTTGCACTGTAAGACCCCATGTCGAGCAGAAATAGATTAGGTGTGAATTCTATTCAAGACTAACTGCCAGACCGAAGGGCTAATATCAGTGCCAAGGTCATAAATCAGGTTTTTAACATAGCAGGAAGGAGCGGGAAATGGCGGGAGCTGTGTCACTCCCAGAGTGTTTATTTACAGTGCAGGTGGGGCGGTGAGGAGGTTTGTGGAGCCCAGGTGTGTCATCCTTGGCACTCAGCGCTTCATGGGGGTTGTGGGCTGAGCCAGGTAGATGGTCGGATCTGGATCTGGGAGAAAATACTGGAGCAGCCAGTTAGAGTAGAATCCTCCACTCCTCTCCTTCTCTTGGATTGGGAGTGTTCCTTCCAGCCCCAGGGGGAGCCGGATCTTTAGCTGGCAGTAATAACTGATTAACAGCTGGGTGGTGTTGGAGAGCTGTCAGTATCCCGCCCTGCTGGGTGCCATTCCCTCTATGTCCCGCTCTACCGGTGCGGCCAAGGCACCCTGTCACTGTCCCCCAGGGGCTTTAAGCCAAGGCTTGGTGTCTTTGGCGGGTTGCCATGTGTCGTAGCAGCGGGTTGCCATGTAAACAGCCGCCTGAGCAGGTATCAGATCTCTGGCGGGCCGTGCGTAATGGTGAGGCCCACTTGCTGCGTGGGGGCATGACACCAAGACCAGCATGTGGGAGAAAAAGAGCGCAGGATGGTCCTCAACGTGGAGGTCCAAGGATAGCACCACAACAAATCAAGTTTCTAGAATGTTCATCTGAAGCCGGAATGGCTGGTTAAAGTATGGTGACATGGATTTCGGTACTTCCTTTAACTTCAGGAGGGCCGTCTCAGCACCAGAGGACCATGTGGCTTAGTGATAGAGAGTGGGGAATTTTCTGGAGCAAACCTCGACCGTTGTGTAGGTCTGGTATCAAGCTTCTGAGAGGCTAAGATGGCTTTTACTGGGTTGGCTGTCGGGCTGGTCTGATGGCATTCAGCCAGGGTTGGATTCATGCACAGGCTATCCTAGGATATAGCCTAAGCCCCTGGCAAACATCAGGCTCCACCCAACCTTGGAACGGTTAGTTAAATTGGTGTCCCTGTCACTTAAATACATGCAGACAGGTTTCAGCATCGTGGGTCTCCATGAGCTTAGTCAGGCGTCAGCTGGTGCTTTTGACCAGCCTCAATGGGGCTACACCGCAGCAGGTGAGGGCACTGGTGATTCTGCTGGGAGCCACGTTGACTCTGGATGCCTGTGTCGACCGTTGGATCCTCAGTCATGGGGTGGCAGTGCTCTTTTATGACTGACTGCCAGCTGGGTGGTGTTAGGGTGTAGGTGCCACCCTGCCCTGCAGGGGTGGTGTTCCCTCAATTGCCTACTCTACCAATTTTCTAAATATTGACCTGAAAATACAGTCTTTGGACCTGTGGGTAGTACCATGGCCTCGCACGTCCAGGACTGTGGGCAGGGGTGGATTAATGCATAGGTATATTCTAGGCTATAGCCTACAGCCCCACAAACATCAGGGCCCCACCCCTCTTTAAAACAGCTAGTTAAATCGGCAACACTTCAGCATTTATCCTGATGTTATCCTGATTTCAACCATGGGCCCCCAGATATGTTAATTCAGCCCTGGCTGTAGGTTTGTTTCCCAGTATATGTGGGCAAATATGATATTCCCAAGTTGGCATAAGACATGAGGTTGATTGCTGTCTCTGAATGTAAAAATGATATTCAGCCAGAAATGGTTAATATTTGTGTCTGTGCATTTCTTGTAAAGGTCTTTCATAGACTGCCTGATCATCCCGCTCCAAGATCAGATGGAAGAGTGGAAAAGGGGAGTTAACACTCTGGATAAAGACCACGCCAAGGGTGAGAGCTGGACACTTAACATCGGTCTCACTTTACTTAGGGTAGCTTTGTCCCATAAATCTGAGGTGCCTCACTGTGATCTATAGTAACGACCAGTTTGACAAACAAATAACTAGAATGGGAGTTTCAGGGGAAGTTTAGAGGGATCCACTGACACTTTCAGAGAAGGTGGTCTGGGGGGAGGTCTGGGGATCTGGGGGGGTCGGTGTGCTGTGCCTGAACTGTGGTTAATGCCCCTCTTATAAGAGACACTGGCTGCAATCTTTCTAATCCAGTGATTTCTCTGCAGACTATAAGAAAGCGCGGCAGGAAATCCGCAGAATATCCTCTGAGACGCAGAAGCTGCAGAAGAAGGCAAAGAAAGGTAATGTGGCCCCCAGGGCCCACGCCCGGTTAGAGTGGGGGGGCTTCGTGCACCGATGGGTGTGGTGCAGTGGGTCCGTAGGAGGTCATTTCAGGTAACAAGGATACTTGCTTTCATTGGAGGCTTTCAGCAGGGGTTTTTCACTGCTATAAGGTTACTCCTGGGTGTCACGCACTCTTCAGCTCTTGCCATTGTTGGGGAGCAGCTACTCTGATTGGCAGGACATGCTATTCATAGTTTCGTTAAGTGCATTTTGTGGTGTGTTTTCTAAGGTGCCAACGTGAAGCTGACATGTGCTCGCTGTTCCTCGTTAATGTGCCTTGTAGTATGATATTATTGGGATTCTGCACTGGAAGCACAGTGGTATCTGGGCACCAGTTTAATCCAAGCGCTGAGGGATGTCTCGGAATCCCGGTTTGGACTGGTTGATGTCTGCAGACACGCCACTTCAGTCTAAAGAACTGTGGTGTCTCTGTGTTGTTATGGACTGAGACCGAGCAGCAACCATGTTTACCACCAGTCAAACCCTGCATTTGCGTGGGCCCCTTGAAGTTTGGGCCCCCTGTTGGCCACAAACAGTCACTACATTAAATATTAAATAAACACATTACCTACATCTGGGCCCCAGAAGCAACAAACCTTCCAGTGCATCCTGGCCCTGATCCACAGGCTAAGGAGAAGCAGATGAGTCATGTGACACAGTGGGACGTCCCCTATATATGATTATCCAGAATGTAGAGCTGGCACGAAAAGGAAGTGCAAATCTAGCCTGGAATAGCTAGACCGTATCTAGATCTCTCAGTCTGCTAATATTACAGGGCTTCATCATTTAGAGTTTGTCCCTCTTTTCGGTGTTTCTGCACGGGGCGTTCGGCCCCATCCAGCGCTCTGCAGTGTTTCATTCCTGCCCGTATTTATGAAACGCAGACGTTTATTTCTACAGACCGTGCCAGCGTGTCTGTTTACCCAGCCGTGTGTTTGCACATCCTGCTGTGGCAGCCAGACAAGGCATGTACACACAGACACACGCACATCTACACGCTAAGAGCGGCAAACTGTCGAATGGTGGCACTCCTGAGTGTCACCCGGCCTGCCTGTAGACAGAGAGGCCCTTAGAGGGCCGGGCCTATGCCCCCTCTGAAGTGTCCACACTGCATTGTGTATCGATTTAGTGACTTACACACTGTGCAAGTTGCTGTTATCTCTATGCTGTAATATGCAGGTGCTGTTTGTGCCTCAGGGCTGTATCACACGTCACTATAAGGCCAGGATCTGCCCATATTTATGCAGGGGAATGGAAGTGTTCCTGGAATGCCAAGATGTCCTATATAAAAATGTCTCCGTTTAAAAATGACCTTATTTGGGATCCAGAGCTGCCTTATACTTTGCCTGGAGTCAGGGGGCTGGGGGGCCAGCAGCCGTCAATAAGTTTAGCATTAGCGTCCGGGTTAGCATTATGGTTAGCTTTAGTGTTATGGTTAAGGTTAGCATTATGGTTAGCTTGAGCATTGTGGTTAGCATTAGCATTAGACTTGGAGTAGCTTTGAGCAGAGCATGTGTCACTGCGCCATCACTCATCCACTTATTTCTGACTGGCCTGAGCTGCCTGATCCAGCCCCTAACCCATAATTATGGCCTTTGAGCGATTCAGAAGGGCAGTGTGCTGCATTAGCCCCGCCCCTCCCATGCACATGGCCTCGTCCGGCCGCCTCTGACCTAACCGTGACACCCACAGGCATCTTGGAGCGTACCCAACAGCAACATGTGTCCACAGGGAAGGGGGACCTCCGGCTGCAGAGGGGCGGAGCCATGCAGGGCGTGAGCAACAAGTACCTGGTGCTGGAGGAGACGGAGACGCAGGCCCTGCGGAAGGCGCTGCAGGAGGAGAGGGGGCGCTTCTGCACCTTCGTGTCCATGCTGCAGCCCGTGCTGGTGAGTGCTGCCATTCTGGCTGAGCGCCTCACACAGGTGCCCGTATCAGGATATATATATATACTGTATATATGCAAAACAAACAGCTCTGAGGTTTAATATATAATAAAGAAATGAATATGAGCCCAGGGCTTCTGCTGAGATGGCAGCTGTGGTCCTCAGTCTCCTCTTTCAGAGGACGGCAAAGGTCACAGTCCTGCAAGATACAGGCACGCGTCTGTGAGAGAGAGGCGTCTGTGAGAGAGAGGCTTCTGTGAGAGAGAGGCGTCTGTGAGAGAGAGGCGTCTGTGAGAGAGAGGCGTCTGTGACTGTCCATGGTGACATCACTGTCCATTTCTACCTGACACTGAAGGACGAGGAGATCGCCATGCTGGGGGAGATCACCCACCTGCAGGCCATCACCGACGACCTCAAAGTGCTTACTGTGGACCCCCACAAGCTGCCTCCGGCCAGCGAGCAGGTCAGGGTGGGGGGAGTGGCGGGGGGGGGGTTGATTGGTGCCGACGCCTCAGGCAGCCCAGTGCAGGTTTTTACACTGTGGGCCGCTGGTGGGATAGTGACAGGAGGATCTGGCTCTTGGACCTTTAGAGCGATATTCAGAGATATTCAAACATCTGCACAGAGGCTCTAGCTGACTGACAAACACACACCCAGAGGAATAACTTGTAGGTTTCATCTCACTGGAATTTATTGCCCCCACCTGCCACCTCTGCTGTTCCATCACAAACATGCCTTTTAACGGGCAAACAAATGAGCTTCTATGTTTCCTCGCAGGTTATTCTTGACCTGAAAGGCTCAGATTACACCTGGTCCCGTCAGACCCCCCCGCCGTCTCCCAGTATCGGGTCCCGGAAGTCCAGCATGTGCAGGTAGGGATTTGTCTCTGTCCACCACAATGGCAAGACTTCAGTGTTCCCAGATCGCCACACTGTGGTAGAGATTAGGTACTGCATATATGCAGCAGTTGGTTATGTCCTGTTTAAACTGACATGTAACCCGACACAGTGATTTATTAGCTTGTTTGAACTCATATAAACAGTGTTGTCCAGTGAAACTAAACAGGATTCACCAGCGTGTGACATAAAGTTATGGAGCATGATGGATGAAGACAGGAGCTGTTTTGTGTCCTAATGAGGGGAGAGCACCTCCTACAGCCAGCCTGCTGCTACTTCAGCACCTGACCACCCCCCCCCCCGCCCGCCTCTCACAGCAGTCTGAACAGCGTGAACAGCAGCGACTCGCGTTCCCCGTCTGCACTGTACTGCCACCGGGGCGGCGCCGTCCCCCTGCAGCCCTCAGGCCGCCTTTACAGCGTCTCATCCCAGGACTCGGGCTTTGTGTCCCAGGATGCCTTCCCGTCCAAGTCGCCCTCCCCCATGCCCCCAGAGGCTGTCTCACAGGTGATGAGGGTGACCCTGGGGGGAGAGGGGGGGCAGGCTCAATACTGGGGACTGTCCTCATATTTTACTGACACGCCAAATCACCTTACGCATCCCACAGATGTACCCCAGCCCCATTTCCCCAGAACTCCCCGGAACCCCCCAGGCTGTCAGTGAGGGTGACCCCCTCACCCCAGCGGAGAAGGTGAGTCATTACACGTTACAGGTGGTTCAGCATGACAGCCTTAAGTACATAACCGATCCGCGTTTGATCCTGCAGGATCTGCAGTCATTACCCCAAGTCTAAATGTGTCTCTTGTGTTTGTAGGGCACAGCCCATAATATTCCACCCACTTTCAGCCTGATATGGAATATAAATATCTGCTGATTATAAATCTAGCACTTTCCAGTGGAGATCAGCTCACAGAATTACTGCTTCTAACTAAATACTTAACCTAGCTGTAATTTGTGCTCCTTCAAGATGTGTATAACAGTAACTAATCATTTTAACCAGGTTTAGTTCAGTTCATGCCCATTCAGCCTTGTTTGCGCTCAATAATAGAAAACCGCGTTACCCTTTGTGAGGTCTTTGTCTCCCCCTTGTGTTCGACTGGCAACAGTGCACCTGCTCCTTACACAGGCTGATCCGATGTTTCCGTTCAGATGGTTGTAATCATGTTCATTCAGCTGTCGTCAGTCTAACTTCATTTCACTGCTTTTTTCAGTTTTGCTACGTTCATGTTTTATACAATCATTGTAATTCATGAGGCTCCATATTTGTATCTTGTCTATGTTTTTGTGTTTGTGATTCGTGAGTCCAGCCAGGCAGATGCCATCGCTACCCTCCCACCACCCCACCACACCCGCCCGAGAAAGGAGATCCTGAGCCTCATTTCCCTGTCCCTCCCCCTTCCTCTGCCTCCTCCCCCTTGTGGGCGTGGCCTGGTCCCTGCCACGCCCCTCTCCCCTCCTATACTCCCTTCTGCCCGCTGGGTCCTGGCATGATCCCGTCCACCAGGGTGCCCAGCTGGAAGGTTTGCTGCTTTTCCTGTGTTTCTCACATGTTTGCATAGGAGGACATTTTTACTGAATCCATTCAGGGGGGTGTGGGGTGGGATTTGATCAGTTTAACCTACAGGCCTCTGATGATTAAGGTCTACATCCTTACTCACTGTGCAGTGGGCTGTGATGTGTAGAGACGTGTAGAGATGTGTATTTTATACATACTGTATGATTGCTATATTCATTTTAAAGTTCCCTGCTTGAAGTAGGCGTACCGTATGCAGGCTGCATGTTGTTTCTTTACTGATATCATGTATGTGGTCCCTGTTCTGTGCAGGACTGGGCCAAGCCGGGCCCATACGACCAGCCCATGGTGAACACCTTAAAGAAACCCAAACGGACCCCGGAGCAGGCTGAAACGCGCCGAGCCGTCTCTCAGAGTGGTGGTGTCCCCCCTCTCAGGGACACCAGGGCCCTGACTGCGTCTGGCACCGACAAGGTGAGCCGAAGGCACAGCAACACGGGTCTGCGTGACCACATGCATGCAGACGTACACGCCATGCGGTCCTGCTGCCTGACAGACATGCTCATGGATTCTCACAGACATACTCATACACCCTCACCAGCAAAGAGAAGCTCGCTTCTATAAGAGGCTTAAGAGGTTTAATAACCCTCACTTGCAGTGTACTGCACTGGGTGTAGTGTACCTATGCTAAAGCCAGGTGGCGCTGTCTGCCTCTGTGTGCTCCCTTCCCCAGGAGGAGATACAGGCCCACCAGGAGCTGGCCCTGAGCCTGGCCCGAGGGCTGCCCCCCGACCCCCAGGGCTCCGGCTCCAGTGGATACAGCAGCCAGAGCCCGACCCCCTGCAGCTCGGAGGACGCCCTCCCTTCAGAGGGTACACTTTCCGATTCGCTGAGGAAACCCACACAGGCACACTGCATTTACATTTAGTCGCTTAGCAACCATTTTACCTTTCGGAGCAGCTGGATGCTTTACTGGAGCGATCTGGGTTAAGTACCTGGGTAAAGATTCTGAAGCGAGACTCGGCCAGAGTCCAGAACTAATGACCTTCAGGTGTCCAGTGCACCATGATGCCTGTTTCTCTGGGCAGCGCCGTTAGTACTGCTGAGACTGGGATCATGGGTAGAAAAAAAAGAGACATGATGCAATATCTCAGCAACATTGTAACTGAGGAAAGAAGCAAGGTTATGGAGAATAAGCCTAGTTTAGGAGAAGGAGGTCAAGTGGCACTGTTGCAGTGAATTGCCTCACTCTCGCCCCATCTTTCCGCAGTTTCCGACTGTGACTATTTCTCGATTGGCGGAGAACAGGAAGTGGATGGGCGGGACTTCGAGAAGTGCTCCACCATCCTGCGTAATGGTGACATCAGCCAGTCCTACATCCGTGTGACCCAGGCCCGACGCCCCCCCTCCACAGGAGGCTCCGCCCACCCCACCCCGGGAGTGGCCACCATCCGCAGAACACCCTCCACTAAGACCCCTGGGAGGCGGCCCGTCGGGGTGTCTGCCATTCCAGTGAGGACCCCCTCGGTGCCGGATTCGGCGGGGGGCATGTCCTATGGCATTGCAGGGGGGGCGGGCCTGGGGGCAGACTCAGTTGCATCTCAGGGACACGACATACTCCTGGCCATCCGCCAGGGGGTCAGGCTGAAGAAGACGATGACCAATGACAAGTCGACACCGCATGTCACTTAAAGCCACGGCGTGACAGAGAGTGTGACGCCCTTCAACACACCGAGCAGGGTGTCATCAGCCAATCACAGGGGGGGATGATATTTCTATTTGTGTAAGTTATATATGAATTTTCAGGAATGTGTATATACTTTGAGACATTTAAGTTATGCTTGATTCTCTCGTTTTGTCTCTACACCCTATTCTGTTGTCAACAAGGCCTTGACCTTGTTTATTTGCTTAGTGTGTTGTTGAACTTTATGTGAAAGTTTTAAAGGAGACCTTATTTTGCAGTTAACACTCTACGGTCTGACAGTCTTGTTCTTTAATAATCATACTGCCACATAGTTTGGGTGTGAGTATAAGGATCACTGAGCGATATTATAGATAAGAGACTGAACAAAAACTCAAATACAGGGAACTGCTAGCTCTAATGAGGTTTAAGCGAGAGGAACGACTGTAAACTTTCCAGGTTTAATGATACAGAGTGCATGTGAATTTGAGTCCCCTGTTGATGATGTCATGTAAGCTGTCTGTAAAGTTGAAATGTTGGTTATAGTGCACTTACAGTGTATGTCTGGAACTTAATGTCACCGTTAAATACCATCTTGTATTTCCATACAATGTCACACTTTTTACATGCTAGATGTGATAAAGTTTTACTTTTGCAGCTCCTCCTAAGCTCCTCAGGCTGTATATCTCCTTCCTCTGTAGAATAATGTTGTGATTCAGTCTTTATTAAACATACATGCTATACTGTTGGTTCCAGTGTTTTTGCCTGCTTCAGTGTATTTAAACAGAAGGTCTCCTTTACACCAGATATCCCACCTTAGGCATACTGACCTCCCCTGGGTCGGCAACTTCTACCAACACCCAAGACCCAAATATAGTTAGAAAATCTGTGACAAATAATGTACATACTGCATGGCTTCGTGATATAAGCAGTCATATAACTAAAAACCTAATTTGTCTTCTCTATTGACCCCTGGTGGTAGAAAGGAGTATGCCATCTTCAGATATTCCAGTTTGCTGTTTAGATTCAGCATCACAGGTCGGCCATAACTGATTGCAGAAGCATTCAGATGCTTTGACGTAAACTTGTGTATCCAAAACATTTTCCAGCAAGCTGATAAAATTATTTATATTACATAATGAAAAGCATTATCTGGAGATGACATTCATTTTCACTACTAGGGTTCAATACAGAAGAAGCGAGGCCAGTATGAACGTCACAGTAAAACCACCTCACCTTTTAAAACCCGACGTTGGAAGATGGGTGAACTCTCTGTGGAGATTTTTTGACTACTCAAGAAAATTTAGAGTATTATCCCTCAATAAGAAACAAACAAAAAAGGCACAAACTGATATACGTTTTCTTATAATTATTACAAAAGCCAATAAACATGTTTCAACAATATGTCTTCCTCAGCGTCTATAGATAATGCTATTTGGATTATATGATTTGCATGTCATGTTTAATTCCAAGAGTTAATAATATCCATCCATCTATCCATCCATCCATCCATCCATCTATCCATCCATCCATCCATCAATCCATCCTTTGCAGGGTCATGGGGGTCCATAGCATATCCTGGAAGCTAAGGGTGCAAGGCAGGGAATAACCCAGGATGGGGCGCCAACCCATCGCAGGACATCCTCACACACCATTCACTCTCACATTCACACCGATGGGCAATTTGGTAAATCCAGTTAACCTCAGCATGTTTTTGGACTGTGGGGGGAAACCAGAATACCCAGAGGAAACCCCACGTCGACATGGAGAGAACATGCAAACTCCACACACATGGAGCCATGGTGGAGACCTGAACCCAGATCCCAGAGGTAACAAATACAAGCAAACACAACGCACACAGGTGCTTCATTCATCCCTGTGGTGAAACTGGGATGTTTCTACACAGCCTATCTCCTTACCATCTGTAGGCCTCAGACCAGAGCTCCCTGCACAGGAGTAAGGCTCAGGATGAGGACGTCACAGGACACCCTCACCTATCTCACCACACCCATGGTAATCAATCTGGCATCATACACATACATTTTAATATTTACATATGGCTTTTTAGCAGTGTATGTCTGAAATATTTCATATAACTAAATTAACACAGTTATTAAGTCTCTAAACATATAAATCATTATTTTAATGTTTATTTTTGTTATTTTTATTTTTTTTATTAATATTGATTAATTCTTTTTTTATTTTATTTATTTATTTTATTTAACCTTTATTTAACCAGGAAAGTCCCATTGAGTTACAACCCCAAAGGATAATTTATCATCCAGCCAAATACCTAGATATTTGTAGGAGGATACCCTTTCTATTGGAGCACCATTTTCCGTTAAAATTGTGTATTCAGAAAGAAAATGGGAGCGAGTAAAGACCATGAATTTAGTTTCATTAGCATTTAGAACCAACTTTAATCCTAAAAGGAATTTTTGTACCTGATTAAAAGCAGACTGTAGATAACTCACTGCCTCTCGCAATGATGATGCAGAGGTGTACAGTATTGTGTCGTCAGCATAAAAATTAACTTTTGTAGGACTTAAATCCATACCTAAATTATTTATATAAATAGAAAATAAAACGGGGCCCAAAACTGATCCCTGGGGGACACCCATTATTACTTCTAAAAAGGGAGAGATAAAGTTGTCTACAGCCACACACTGAGTTCTACCACTCAGATAATTAGAAAACCAGTTTAATACAGTACGGCTGAAACCTATGCTTTTCAATCTTTGCAGAAGAAGATGATGGTCAACGGTGTCAAACGCTTTAGATAAATCAATAAACAATGCAGCACAAGACTTTTTATTATCTAATGCGGTGATAACATCAGTTGTAACAGAGGTTACAGCCGTAATTGTACTATGCCCTTGTCTGAAACCAGACTGCATGGGACTTATTATTAGTCCAGTGATATTAAACAACTGCGATGTGCAAATCGAATTTGTGGATCGGCACCATTTCAAAACCACATACAAAACGTATAATATACACATAAAAAAAATACACATATGCAGATATTAAGTTCTTTGATAATTTATGTAACTACACTGTATTATACATTCAGTCATATCCACCTAATCTAGTTTGCTACTGCTGAGGTGTGAGATGAGAATGTCACCATGTTATCTGCAGAAGATGGGAATGGTGAGGCTTGGGGGAGGGGACTCTGACAAAGGAAGCTCTCTCATTGGCCAGATTACCCCAACTGAAAGTTTAACAATGTGTTGTTCATAGTCAAAGTAGGCATGTTATTGGTTGATTGAATAATTAATTTATATGTTACATTTTTGCAAAATATTGGGTAGGAATGTGCCTATTTAAATTGATTGCTACAATGCCACTAATATAAAAATGTAACATCAAACAATCCTGCCTTTGATATACATTTTTGGGCGGATTCAGTAACCATTACAGTGATCTATTAACTCACTTCCAGGGACAAACTTATTTTCCAATTAACTCAGAGACCTGACCTGTAAGAACCTGGAGCAACTGCTGGGAGAGGTGGCATTCCAGCTGGACCGCAGAATTGTGACATTCCAGGCAATGCTGTGTGAGTCTACTATGCTCAACATTCCGGTGAAGGTCCTTCAGGTGTGTATTTGTGTGCGTAGACTCAGAAAAATTAGGTCATTTATGTACCTGCTAAATACGTCCGCTAGAGAAGACATGAGCGTCAATTCAATACTGCAGCGGTATAACCAAAATAATAATAACCTTACATCAGATATGCGCAGCTCATAGACACATTTATGTCTATGGCGCAGTTAATTTTTGCGCCTTTACTCGAAGATTTACGGTCCGCTAGAGGATTATGGGAATAAGGACGCATGTGGGGATTCTACTGCCAGGTGCAGAGTGGAAATGGCCAGTTTTAAGTTTATCGGTAAGAGTGCACACAGTGTGATGCCGGTCCTTCAGTTCTTAGTGCGTTGCAGCAGTACAGAGGTCATTTTATACAGTATGCTGATTTAGCCAGGATGTTCTAAACGCGTTATGTTAACTTAATGCATTATGTTAACAGCACTCCATTAGTTTGCATATCAGCGAGGTACACGGTGGTCTCCCCCAGGTTCACAGAGGGTACTCAGCTTGGTGTATTAGGTAGCTCTGTAATTACAGTTTAAAAAGTCTGTGCGTCAACCTCTCTCCCCAGATATCGGTATAAACCTGACAGATCCCATGTTTCGAGGGATCTACAGGGGAGTTCAGAAACACCCAGGTGAGCATCCAGCCTGATAAAGAAATTAGCGTAATAACGTTGTGATTACTGATGGTGTGTGTGTGCGCCCGCGCTAACAGCGACGTCAGACACCAGAGGAAACGGACTCAAATGCAGATTTGACGAAAAGATCAGAAGAAATTAACTCAAAACAAACCAACCAACTATCGTCAGTCCACTTCCACTTTTATTTGCTGTTTTGCAGATGATTTCATGCAGGTTGTTGAAAGAGCCTTCAAGGCTGGAGTTAAGAAGGTAAATATCCTTATGTCTAACTGGACTATCTGTTCTCTGTACAGAGAAATCACATATTTTGGGTTTTGCAGTTAATGATCACAGGCGGGAACCTTGATGACAGTCGGGAAGCTTTGACGCTGGCAGAAAGTAGAGGTAAATTCAGTGTCCCGCTCTGCATTGACCAGTGTTTGATTTGTTAGTGATTGATTTTATTTGTAAATAACATCATTGTGGTCACCTTTGAATTAAGACTACTGGTGGTTTTGGATATTGTTGAGCTGTAAGAGTCTGTCTGGTTTGTCAGATGAGTTTTTCAGCACGGTGGGGTGCCACCCGACCCGGTGCAGTGAGTTTGAGCAGAACGGATCGGACCAGTACCTGACGGCGCTGAGAGACCTGGCCGTGGCCAACAGGGGCAAGGTGGTGGCCATCGGGGAGTGTGGCCTTGGTAACGTCGTGATCGCTCCAAAGAGCCCTTCCTGAATCTGCCATGACAGCAGCTCGCGGAGAGCAGCCCAGCTTAAGGGCTGAGCTTTACGTACTAGCTGACTGAAAATGATACGTTTCATTTTGAATTACGTCAGTGCTTAATCTCAGAGGAATATACTGTATCTGCATAATTTCACTCAGTCTTCAAACTGAGCACTTTAATAGGAAAGGCAAGTTTATTAATATGGCACATTTTCATACACAGAGGTCACTTAAAGTGCTTTACAGAAATAATAAAAAAACAATATTATAAAAGAATATATAATTCAAGTACAAGCATGTTAAGGAACGTAAAGGTGCAGTGTCCAGCAACATTAAAAATATAAATTTCATTTAAATATCCTGAGAATTTATCAAGCACCACGAGAGAAATTAACTACATTGCATTAACTTATCTTATGCACAGAAAGCTTTTAAAGGTTTCTGTTTTGTGAAAAATTTCATGCTAGCTCATTCTGCATGAATTTGTCCATTTAAATAACAAAGAAATAGTATATTATACAGTACACTGCATAACTACAAAATAGTACAGCTTTCAGTTCCGAACAATGCTGGAGAGAAGCTGGAATGGTCTAACCCTGCCCCTCGTTTGCTACTCAGATTTTGACAGGCTGGAGTTTTGTCCAAAGGAGACTCAGCTCATGTGAGTTGACAATCATTGCTTCCTAATGAAATTGTTCAAAATGTACATCTGTGTTAGTCCTCATACTGCCCGTATTGGTGTGGTGTTTACAGTGTGCTGTGATTCGGTGTGTGGTGCAGCCACACTTTGAAGCAGATGGTTCCGCAGAAGACAAATGAAACTTGCTGTGATTGTCAGTGTCATTGAGTGTCACCTGCTCATGCATGAGCATTTCACTCTTTTCTGGCGGCAGATTGGTTCCAGTACTTTGCCTGTTTTTTGGGATATCATTAATCAAATATAGAATAGTGACACTTCATTCATCTCCATGGGGAAATCCTGCTTTTGCCTTCCCATAGAGCAGTGTTTCTCGAGCCAGTCCTCACGGACCCCAAGACGGTCCATGTTTTAGCTTTTTCCCAACTCACAGGGAATTGGGAGAAACCAAAAATATGGACCATCTGGGGGTCCGCGAGGACTGGATTGAGAACCACTGCCATAGAGAAAAGACACACAGACGTGTGCAGGTTTTGGGGGTCACACCGCAGGGTCAGCCAGCCTGCAGTGCCCCTGGAGCTGGGGGTTAAGGGCCTTTCTCAGGGGCCCAAAGGCAGCATCAGCTGGCCCCGGGATTCGAACCGACAGCCTTCTGGTTGCAGACATGTGGTTTTCTGTTAGTGACAGCATAATTTACTTATCCATCTATCTGTCTTCCAACTGATAATCCTGAGTGACACTTGTAGTTACTTTAATTATTCTTTCATTTTATAATGGAATGCACCGGAACCTGGCGTTTTATTTCCTGCTTCCTTATTTTGTCTTTCGCAGGTATTTTGAGAAGCAGTTTGATCTTGCTGAAGACTCTAAGCTGCCAATGTTTCTCCACTGCAGAAACTCACACAAGGAGTTCTTAGGTAGCGTCACGCAGCGGAGATCGGGCCCTCAGCTAGCCGCGACTCTGATGGCTAACGCTCCTCTTATCATACTCTCACAGATATCATGCGGAGGAACCGGGACAGATGTGTCGGAGGGGTGGTAAGACTCAGCCAGTTGAAATGTGATTCTCAAAAGTAGAAGGATGTGTCTCACTGGGGCTGGAGCGCAGTGCTTAGCCTAGAGGATCCAGCCCAGATGTTGGTGACAGACGTCATGTGTGAAGACTGTGTGCTGTCATAGGTGCATTCGTTTGACGGAAGCAAAGAGGATGCAGCGGCTATTGTCGATTTGGACCTGTACATTGGGATCAATGGCTGGTATGGGGCCTGATCAGTCACACCCACAGTCGTCTGTTTGTTTATTCTCACTGTTTTACCGTTACTTCTTAATCGTTTGCTCCACCTGTTTCATTGTGATTGTGTTTTTTTTTTTTATTAATAATTAATAACAGTTGTCATTAATTTCAGCTCTTTAAAGACGGAAGCAAATCTTGAAGCAATGAAATCCATCCCGACTGAAAGGTTGATGATTGAGACAGGTAAGCTCAACGTTCCAGACCAGTATCCCAGCATCCAGTGCCAGTCAACCCATTAGGAATCATAGGCAGCCCCCAAGGGTGCCATCGTTTGTGGGGGCGCTGACTTAGAAAACTGCGGACTTGGAGAGAGTCACATGATATTTTATTCATCTAAATATATATATTTTTAGTAAAATCTACTAGGAATTTAGTATTGTTACTGATGGGTAGCTGTAGAAATAACATGAGCCTCGGTATGGCAACTGTACAGGAACCAGGAGAGTCACGTGACCTGAAAGCAGCTTACTATGACAGCTGTACAGGAACCAGGAGAGTCATGTGACCTTAAAGCAGCTTACTATGACAGCTGTACAGGAACCAGGAGAATCACGTGACCTTAAAGCACCTTACTATGACAGCTGTACAGGAACCAGGAGAGTCACGTGACCTTAAAGCTGCTTACCATGACAGCTGTGCAGGAACCAGGAGAGTCACGTGACCTGAAAGCAGCTTACTATGACAGCTGTGCAGGAACCAGGAGAGTCACGTGACTTAAAAGCAGCAACTATGACAGCTGTACAGGAACCAGGAGAGTCACGTGACCTGAAAGCACCTTACTATGACAGCTGTACAGGAACCAGGAGAGTCACGTGACCTGAAAGCAATCCTTGTGTTTTTCACAGATGCTCCTTGGTGTGGGGTGAAGAACACGCATGCAGGCTCTAAGTTCATCAAGACCACTTTTCCTACCAAGAAGAAGTGGGAGGCAGGGCACTGTGTGAAGGATAGGAACGAGCCCTGTAACATCATGTACGGCATCCCTGCAGCTTGACCCTAACCCTGCCAAACATTTTCTCCATTATCATTTTGCTACCTGTTATTGGTATCAGCCAATTATGACCCAAACACAATCACGTACACCTTCGCTGATTTGAGCATACATTCACTCATATAAAAAAAATTGTAGGGTTTGGAGGGTCATCTCAGAATCACACTTTCCCACATAATTATTTTCTCCATTAGATGAGAGTAATCCATATCGTGTAATAGTCATTTTCAGGAGGATTTGGGATAATACCTCCCTCAGGAAATTGAAGGATGCTAAAAGCTATTAAGAATGACAAATTATTTGAAATCTGGCTGGGGATAGGAGGGCTTCTGACACTTGTACTCTGAAAGTTCACTTCCTGGAGCCCGAACCCCCTTTTCATAAAAAAAGACACGGTAGGTTCTCATTACAGGGTCTTCAACTGTGTTTTTCAATTTTCAGTCAGGTGCTGGAGATCATGGCAGCTACTAGAGAAGAGGACCCTTTGGAAATGGCCAACACTATTTTCAACAACACGACAAAAGTTTTTTTCACTGACAATTGATTTTATATATATTTATTGTAACACAGTGTAGTTTTTCCATTACATGATTTAAAATACTCTCAATTCTGAGACTTTTATAATAACACAAATATTCTAAATGTCGAGTTTCTTGTCCCGAATGATATGACGATGGCGGATTGTATCCCTCTGTAATATATTCATAATATTGAAGGCCAGCAATAAATATTTCATAATATACTCCAGAAAGTTTGCCTAGAAGTTATTTTACAGATTCGTTAACAGGTAATCTGCGGTGTTCATTTATGTTAAAAGCGCCCCAAACAGACCATAATGTGGCTTCTAAATGGGTGAATTGGCAGTTGTTATGCGTGAATAATACCGGCGCGACGTGCCGGGCGTGATGACGCAGAGGCGGGACGCGCCGTGATCGCCGTTGTCACTTCCGCGTTTCCCGCATAGCAACAGCGGGACCGACATGGCGGAGTTCCGCACGGACCCAGCCGAGTGACGGGCTTTACGGCTTCGGGCTTCGCCGCTGGACGGGGGGCCGACGCCATGGCTTCCCCCCAGGGTCGGCTCACGCAGCAGGCCATGGCCGTACTGGACGTCGTATTCCGCGTCCCCTGTGTCTTTATCATCGACGCCATTTGTAACTGCTACAGCGATCCCGCGTCAGGATGGGCCGTGACGGCCGGGAGGATCTTCCTCCGGTGCCTGGGTAAGAGGACTCGGAGCTCCGCCGTCTGTCAGCTGTCACCTGAGGGGTCGTGTGGGGTTGGGTTAGCTTAACCAGCCGCCGAGTTTAAGAGGGGCGTTTCTCTTACAACAAAGTAAACATTATCCATGACACCCATTCCTTATGACAATGGCTGCCACATAAGCAGCAGTGTTTGTATTGATATTATCAAGTATCACGGCTGACGTGCTCCGTATTACCGAAATGGACAAAGACATCGGTTTACACCGACGGTGGGTCTGTCGGTTAACAGGCGGTCGCGTTGCTGTGACCAAACTTAGTGGTTTACCATCAGCTTTATGAGGGATTATGGCGTCTGTTCCCCAGTCAGCTGAAAGCTATTAGTTATGATTGTGTTTTGGTTTGGCCTAGTGATCCATAACAGAAAAATGCACATCCTCAGGCTTCACCTGCCAGCCTTTCTGACGGCTCTGTGGGCGTCGGTGTTGTGCTGCCTTAGTGAAACACAAGAGATGTGATTTCAAAAGACTTGAAATGATTGTGAGCTTGTTCAGTCGGCAGCCTTAGGGATATTTAGTGAAATATTACACTAATAATATTTACATTCACAAACATGATTAATGGTGTTAAAATCTCAGAGACATGCTGTGAACTGTACTTTTTATTCGTGTGCTCTCTTTTTCCTGCAGGCATCTTGGGCTCCAGCATGGTGCTCACCCTGTCCCAGAAAGCCCTCTTTCGCTTCTACACCTTGTTCTTTGCTGTGCTCTTGGGCACGGTGTCAGTCCTTATTAACTACTACGCCACCTCTCACGTAGACTTTTACGGCGCGTATTACAAGGCCGCCCTGGGCCACAGGCTGCTCCCCAGGAACGGACCCAGCCTGTGGCTCGGCCTGGCTATAGTCCAGCTCATGTTCGGCATCGGCTACGCGGTCCTGCTCAACGTCCAGTCTGTGTCGGCCGCCTTTGTCATCCTCAGCGTCACGGTGCCCATCTGGGGGCTCGTGGTGGAGCTGCCAGTGGAAGCGCGGCAACTGGTGTCCACCATCTCCGGGCTCCTCCTGGCCCTCAACACTGCTGTCTACCTAGCCGCCAAGCTACGCTGGTTCTACTACTCCTGCCGCTACGTCTACCTGCTGGTCCGGCACATGTACCGTATCTACGGCGTGCAGCTCCTGCTGGAGGACACCTGGAAGAGGATCCGCTTCCCGGACGTGCTCCGGGTCTTCTGGCTGACCCGCATGACCGCCCAGGCCATCATCCTGGTCTATGTGGTCCGCGTGGTCAGCAGCGAGACTGGCGATCCCAGCTACCTGAGCTGGGATGTGTTCTGGGATCTGGTCAGTAACCTCATCATCAGCGGCTGCGACTCGACACTCACGGTGCTGGGCATGAGCGCCGTGATCTCCTCCATAGCACACTACCTGGGTCTCAGCATCCTGGCCTTCATCGGCTCCACCGAGGAGGAGGACAAGCGGCTCGGCTTCGTGGCTCCCGTCCTCTTCTTCATCTTAGCCCTCCAGACAGGACTCAGTGGCCTGCAGCCTGAGGAGAGGCTGGTGCGACTCAGCCGGAACATGTGCCTGCTGCTCACCGCCATCCTGCACTTCATCCATGGCATGACAGACCCGGTGCTCATGTCCCTGAGCGCCTCTCATGTTCCGTCCATGCGGCGCCACTTCCCTGTGCTGCTGGTGTCGCTCTGCCTCTTCGTGCTGCCCGTCCTGCTCAGCGTGCTGCTCTGGCACCGCTATGCCCTCAGCACCTGGCTCTTCGCCGTCACTGCCTTCTGCGTGGAGCTTTGCCTCAAGGTCATAGTCTCGCTAACGGTCTACGGGCTCTTCATGGTGGACGGCTACTCCGGCGTGCTCTGGGAGAAGTTGGACGACTACGTGTACTACGTGCGCTCTACTGGCAACGTCATCGAGTTCGTCTTCGGGGTCATCATGTTCGGGAACGGGGCCTACACCATGATGTTCGAGTCCGGCAGCAAGATCCGTGCCTGCATGATGTGTCTGCATGCTTACTTCAACATCTACCTGCAGGCCAAGAACGGGTGGAAGACGTTCATCAACCGGCGCACCGCCGTCAAGAAGATGAATTCCCTGCCCGAGGTAAAGGGCGTCCAGCTTAACGCCATCAAGGATGTCTGCGCCATCTGCTACCAGGAGTTTGTCTCGTCTGCTCGAGTCACCCCATGCCGGCACTATTTCCATGCGCTCTGCCTGCGCAAGTGGCTCTACATCCAGGATACCTGCCCCATGTGCCACCAGAAGGTCTACGTGGAGGAGGAGCCGCGAGACACCGCCGCCTTCTCCAACAACAACGGCTACGCCGCCCCTGACGATGGCGCGGGCAGGCTAGCGGAACCCAGGGAGGTGGAGGGCATCGCTGCGGAGGCGGCGGCCGCGGCCCCTGACAGTGACAGCGAGCTGCTGGAGGATAACGACAGCATCGAGTACGACGAGGAAGAGTGGGGAGCCAAGAACGGCGGCATGCCCATGGAGGAAGATTATATTAATGACGACACGGATTCCAGCGACGAATGACCAGGACGTTGTAATTTAAACATCAGGGATATGTGTGTATGTGTGTGTGTGTGTGTGTTTTTTTTTCCATGTGATTGATTCTTTTCTCTGAAATGTTTGCTTGCTTTCCAAGGGCTCATGGAGGTTACAGTGATGATGGCTGATGTTCTGCTGTACACTGGGGAGCCCAAAACGTCCAGAACCAGAAATATTCCTGAGCTTCGGGGATGATGCTGTTTTCTCCCTCTTGCTCCCTCTAAGGGATTTGGGGGGGGGGGGATTATCTATTATAAGCAGCATGTTGGTCCTTGTGATTCTTTCCCAAGCAAAGGTGAAGGCTGAAATATTTTTGTGACGGGACCACATTCTGAAACTGGACAGGGAGCCGTCCTTAAACTGACAGCGTTCTGAAGTCAGTTGACGGGGGTCTGGATTTAACACGATGTGACACATTCTACTGTAACCTTTCATATACCTCTCGTGATTACTAATGGTCTCTTGTGCGACCTTGCTAAAATTGTGTACATTATTGTACATGTAGTAACTTAGAATAATCTTAAAAGAAAACTAAAGAAAGGAGTTTATATTGAAATGAGTAGTTTGGAATGAGTCGGTTTATCAACAGTTAGTTCTCGTGGGGTAACGCAGCGCCTTGGATGTTCAGGTATATTCATCTGCTCCTGAGAACTGTCACTGAGAACGGCCAGTGGTCCTGTAGAGGAATATTGAGCTTTGATTGGAACTTGATGTATGAAGTATTTTCTCCAAATGCTGAAATCACCCAGACTAGGAGAGGAAACATGATCCTCCTGATATGACTACATGCTATTAGAGGACTGTTTTATTTTTCTAAAAAAAAAAAAAAAACAATAAACAAAAAAACAAAATCATACTACCACAGTTTCAGTAATTATAGTTAGGTAACCCTTATCAGGGGAAAGGCTATTTTTATTTCATTCTGAAATGAAGGATTGTGATTACTGGAGGTTTTAATCAATGGTGAGCTCATCTTTTTGGTCACTTAAATGGATTATGTAAATGAAATCCCACATCCTGGTGATTTTGCTTCATGATGAATTAAACAGATGGTTTTCATCTGTGTGTTTAGCGGGATGGTGGATCAGCAGAATGGCTCTTTCTGCAGCTCGTCTTTCTTCCTGGCTGAAGTTGTTCCCGTTCTCTAGTTTGTTCTCCAATCATGGTGTCGGTCATCATGTAACATGAAGTTACATCATTTTATGAAATTGGAGTTCAGAAACTCTGTTGTAAATGTCTCTGTAAATGCTCTGTATCAGTAATTTATTTGATTATATGACCAAAACGAATGACATTTTTTGTAGAACAATACTTGTAACAAATAAAAAGTTTTTGGTCATTTAAATTCAGAGGCATTTTCCTAGAAGACACAGCTATGCAATGTGCGTTGTCGGTCCTGTACGGAAACCTGCCTATTTGCCTGCCTTGTTGAACTGGTGTCGTGTTTCGCTGTGTTTTTTCTTGTATTGTTTCCTCATTCCCAAAGTGCCTTTAGTTTGGGTTCCTTTACCCAGTGTGCCAGACTGCAGATGGTAAACTAACCCTCTACAGCAGGGGGCAGCACTGAGCTGTTATCATGTATCCCTGCTGAGATTTAGTTATGCAGGAAAAAAAATCCACCCAGTATTTTTCAGTTGAGCCTTGGTTAATTGTCATTGTGTCTTTGTAATTCAGACTTAGATAAAATATTATGTGATACCATAGAGTATAAACTGAGAAACCATTTATGCATATGTTTGACCATACCGGCTTATCCAGCAGTGTCACCGTGCGCGCAGAACCTTCCCGAGAAAGCATATAGGACACATTGAGATGTATTAACTGGTATTAAATTTGTTTCATAATATTTATTAAATGTTAACAGCCGTTTTAGCAAATGAATGACAGCAAAGACCAAAATGCCAAAAACAAAATATGCTATTAAATACTTTAAGTATAGTTACATTTTGCACGGGTCTCCTCTGTTTTAATCAGGAACACTGGCACGGTTTCGGTTCCGTTTTCGGGTGTGTGTTTCTGGTGTCTGTTGTTTACCAGCAGGTGGCGCGATTCAGCCACTTTCATGTTATTACAGACGCTCCTCTACTTAGGAACGGCTGTTTGAAATTTGAAATGTTCTTAAGTGGTTATTCAGCATCATTTTAAGGATACTCAGATCTACATGCATAAGTAAGTATGTGTCATGCCCTGCTCGTGCCGATCTTCCCGTATGCCACGCCCCCCTCGCTACCTCGCGCGGAATCCCCGTGTCATCAGTGTCTTTAGTTGTGTTAATTAGTCTTGTGTATTTAAGTCCGTGTGAGAGTATGTTTCCAGAGTCCGGTCATTCTGTCACGCATCCGGCGCGGGGAAACAGCACAGGAGCCGAAATCGGGCGATCACACTCGGGGACATGAAAACGACGTCATGACGTTAATGGGCACGTGCGTCCCCAGACTCGGGATGTTAAAAGTTTCTACTGAAAGGCGGGAAGATGCGGCTTCAATAGTACTGACATAAAGTGCAAAAATTTGGTATTTAAGGGGTATTTAAACGAGTAGAAAAACAGCGAATATAGTTAGTTAGCGGGCTGACCGTCATTCCCCCGGAGTGAGCAGGGCTTCCGATCCGGATCCAGCGGGAAACGTTCAAAGGAGCGGATATATTTAAAATGAAATCTATATTAAAAACTACTGTACCAAAGAAGAAAACATGGAAATGATACTGATGGTGTGAGAACGGGCGGATCACTGGGAAAACATCCGCACGTTTGCATGTCCGTTTCAGTGTTTGTAAGTGCAGAGGCATTAATAACCATCATCGTTATTTTCATTATCACTGGTGGAATCGGCGTGCATGTGGGCTATTTGCGGTTTCTGATCATTTCTGTACGTTATCCCGGTCTCCGTGTGAACTTGCGCAGTATGTCCCTGGATCCCCAACCATGCAGATCTCTTTCGGGTGACTTGCCTCCGGTTTATCGCCTTCATAGTCTGGCCGGATCATTATTCTGTGAGTTACTGAGCAATCAACAGCGGTAACTAAATACCAAGAGAGCCGAGTGACCTGTATTTCAGCCCATTAACTTCTAGGTTGTTTTTTTGTTCCTGGCAACTTTTAATACGAGAAACTAAGCAAAGAAACGCGATGCTGCCTGGTTTGCGGGGAGCCCTGCGACCGGCCACCGGTTCGAAGACGCGGGTGCTGTGGACGCTGCTCCACCGGAGCGCCGCACTGCCCCTACAGCCGGTACAGCGCCGTAACCGAGGCACGCATCCGCCCAAGGAGCCCATGGAGCCGCTGAACACGGCGCCGGGGGCCCGGGACTTCATCTACAGTCTCCATGCCAGCGAGCGGGCGTGTTTGCTGCGGGAGCTGCACCGCTTCGAGTCCATGGCAATCGCGCAAGGTAAAATAATAATATAAAATGATAAAACTCAGATTAGGGTAAAAGCTCTGGGCACCTTTAAAGTAAAATAAAATATTGATAAAACATAAAGGTAACGTCAATGTAAAAAAAAACACCGCGCTGGAAAGTGTGTGTACTGCTGTTTAAACCCAAGGTTTTTTTTATTTTTACGGTAATTATCATTCACATTTCAGCAATGTTGCGAGCCTTGAAATAATCCGTTTTTATTGTCTTGCATTTTAATATAGCGTTGAAAGGTTCCTCTGTTGGATTAAATCCAGCCGTGATGCAAAATATCTTGTAGGCGAAGTTGTTGAACATTGGAGGAGATGATTAAGTACTGGGATAATGCTAATAGTGCTGTATAGAGGGGCGTAGGAACCGCGGGGACGGGGGAGACGTGTATCCCCGATATTTAACTTGGCTTCATTCATTCATTTCCAATAAAAAGACCTTTATTTAAGTTCAATTATCAAACTCTCGCCTATATATTATGCTAACGTTTGCATTATACGGGGATATCCGCTCCGTTTCTTTTTTTTTAAAGTAAAAAACTTAGAGAAACGGAGCGGGTATCGCCGTATAATGCAAACGTTAGCATAATAGGGGGATATATATATATTCGTACGCTGTCTGTAATATGCCGGTTCTCTGTGTGTGAAATGCGCGGTGCTCTTTAATGACCCTGTCGTTTATGTCCATCGTGCCACACCCGCCCCAGCCGGCCCGGGTTATTTATGCACGCAGTGCTCTTTCTAAGGTGCCTGTATTCTCACTTTCTGACATGTAAGCAGACCGTAAACTTAAGTAATTTTATGCAGTAACTAGGCTTTCGGGAGACCCCTAGTTGGCTTCCCCTTTCTCCATTTCTGCAGAGAAGTGTTTATTTCGCAGTGGGGGTTTTTTTTTGGAAGGGAGTTAGTACAATATTGAAGATTTCTTCCCAGGAAGCTGCTGCATGTTTTCTGTCTGCTTACTTACTGCTGGAAGCTCCTAGAGGCCGTCAGGTTCCAGTAGGTTGTGTTGCAGCCTTGTCCCCACAACTACAACGCTTCATGCAGAAATGCCCCCCCCAGCTCAAGCCTGACTGACATAAGGTGGCAGCTGTGGCCCTTGATTTTATATGTGGGTAGTGGGGGTGCCGTCCCTCTCCCCAGCCAGCAGTATCACATGTCTGCTGTCATTGTTGGGTATGTCAGTGCAGGGAGCACTGAAGGACATCATTAGGCTGCAGGACCTGCATCCTCCTGAGTGGGGCGCTGTCAGGATGTCAACTGATTAGTGTTCTGGGCACCACTGGTCCTCCACTGCAATTTCCAGCCTTCTGTAGTCCTTGTTATTATGGTAGCTCTGTCCAGATGCAGTCGGTGTGTTCAGCTCATTAACTAATTAATACTGTGAAATATTTCTTTAAAAGGTTGCATCTGTACCACAGTAAACATAAAGACGGAGTATGACATCAAACGAGTGTTTTTGCATGTGAACCAATCAAGTCAGCAGTGATCAGATGCTGCCTGTTTACTTTCACTGTGTCTGGATTTGGATTTGGGTAGTTTCTGGTCTAGTGGGGTCCTCTGTTTGCATGGGGGTGAGGTGATTGGTGACATAATCAGACCTGCGAGCTGTCAGTTCTGGTTAGAGTGTGAGTGAGTGTGTGTGTGTGTGTGTGTGTGTTTGGAGGGTTGCCTGAACCAGGGGGGCATCTGAGAAACTTGAAACGTCCCTTGGAATTCCAGAGGATAAGGGAGGGTTCAGTGATCATTTTGCTAACTTGAGTCTATCCTGTCCACCCCTGAACACCCCCCCCCAGCTGCTCTGAGGCATGTGAGCCCATTTGCACAGCCAGCTGTATACTGTCTGTCTCATTCCTCCTTCCCCTCAGTCACCTGTGTCTGCCCTCCCTCCCCAGTGTCCCGCTACACCAGAGAGCGACTTGCTGTTACTGCGTCACCTGAAGAGTGTCTTCCTGCCTCTGCAGCTGATGAACAGAGTACATAGTGTCCCCCCCCCCCCGCATCCCCCCCATGAACCACAGCCCTTGTGCCCTGCATCCCCCGTGCACTAGAGCTCCTCTCCCTTGTATCCCCGTGCATTATAGCCCCCGTGCCTTGCCTCCCTGGTTCCCATCTCCCACCTCCCTGCCTTGTTCCCTCCTCACCATCCTGCCTGGGCTCCATTCCTGCTCGTGTGAAATCGGAGTGGCACTGTGACACATCGCCAGGCGCTCCTGAGAATGTGCCTGTTTTCCTTTGCCTAATTGATACCCTGATGGGCTTTAATTGCTGTGTGGGGGATGGAGTCAGATTCCCCTTCCAGGTGATGTCAGATGGGGGCCCATTAGCTTGCTGGCTTCCAGTTCTGTCCCGCTCGTGTGCAGCTGCCTAAGTCAAACCCCGTCTCATTCTGTCATTTATGGATCTGAGACCAGCTGTATGGCAGGAATCCAGGAAACATTTTTGTTTTGCATTCTAAATAAATTCTTTTGCCAATGCAGCAATCCTCAGAAGTGTCATTTATTATAGTGTATTGTAGGCTATTAGCAAACCACACACTATCGTTGTCTTCGACACAGCAAAACCCGAGGGTACTGTAAGAAACACGCTAATTTCTGTCACATTAAATCACTATAATAGTGAATACCTCTCCATTAGACCGTAAACATTGTGTGCGGCTGTCTCTGCTGAAGAGTCCTCAGCAGTGAGTTTAATCAAAGGCTTGTTATCACAGAAGCTTGTTATCACTCAGGGAGGAGTGTTTCCGCATGAAACACGGCTTCAGATGGACCAAGACTGACAGCTGGCTCATGCGTTTGTGCTTCACCTGTGATGCACTTTTCCCAAGTTTGCTGCATCAAGCAAAAGCCTTTTTGCAAGTAAAATCTGAAGCTGTAGCCAGACAGTTTGGCATAAGAAGGCGATATTTCTGCTAGCGGCGAGGGTGTCCCTAAGGCTTTCTGGGAAGCTGAGGAAGCCCGAGGGGGCCCAGCCTTTCCTTAGCACTTAGCTTCAGCAGTTTCTGAAGCTGCTGCGTTTGGCTGCTCAAAGAGCTTGATCATCCAAGTGACAGGAGACAGACGTCGGCTGCTGATTCCACACGTCTCTGATGAGCGGCAGCTAGATAACAGAGTTTCAGCTCCGCCCCAGGAGTCCGTACCACTGCTGCAGGGAGCCTTGTCACATTCTTGCTGAGAAACCGCATGCGATCTTAACTCTGGGTGGATCTTTCTCAGCGTCTCGAGGAAATCTCTCTACTAATTAGGCCGGAGAACCTGACGTGACTCATTAACTCTGCTTGGGTGCCTGCTGTATGTAATTATGGTGGTTTTTGTGACTCGGAATAGCTGTGAGCTAACAGCTGGGTTCTAACTCAGCCATCGGGAGTCTGAACGCAGACATGAACCAGTGGGATCTGTACGCTGACGTCTTGCTTTACTGGCCTTCACTGGTCACTCTTTGAATTAAAGGCTTCATTATTGTTCCTGGTTAACTCAAAGGGCCAGAAAGCTTGTGTCTTTATTGACCAGGGTCAGCCTTAACACATTTGTGCTAAATAACCCAACGCTTGTTTTCCTTCTTACTAATACATTATGAATTCCTCAAAGCAGATACACAAGCAGTCCTCAGTCGAAATCCCTTTAGTTTAATAGAAAGCCTTCATTAATTCCCATGGATATGAAGCTCATGTTCGCCAGCCTGAGTCTGCTCTTTTATTCATTTTTAAAGATATATTTCTGTGTAATTTTTTTAATTTTCAGTTTAAGTTTTAGATTTAAAGTTGTGGAGCTATTTTAGGTAACTCTTTACATTTACCGCACTTTCATAATGCATTCATAGAGCATTCTTAAGCAGCATGTAACATCGTAACACACCTCAACAGCCTTAATATACATGAATAAATTATGATTATAACAATTGTATGATGTTAAGGTTTACTAAAGCTGTTAAGGTATCTTAAGATGTTTACATACTGCTTATTAATGTGCTATGAATGTGTAATCAATGCATTAAGCTGCAATTAAGGTAAAGCATTGTCCTATTTATGTACCTGTAGAGAATCCTGCATGAATACACAGTACATATTATGTAATAAAGTCTTCAAAATGGGCAAAACGCATTCCAGGTACAAACCTATCAATACTGGATTGTGTGTGTTTTGAATGATTTCCATCAAGGAGGGAAGAAACAAATTATTGCTTTAGCTAATTAGTGTTAAAAACTGTAACAGAAACGGTTTGTTTCAGAAGAAATTTATAGTTTTTTAGTATTTTATTTCAGTTTACAAAAAAGTTTTCTTTTACTCTTCGTTAACAATAACCCTGGTCTGAACTGATCACGACGCCTAACATCTTAATGTCTTGGAGGCAGAGGTTCCTCTACCCGCTGCGTCTCACTGCCACTGGCGCCAGTGGCTTTCAGCTCCCGCTCTAATCCTGAGACGAGGCGCTTATCAAAGCTGCGGTGGAAAGGAGATGCCCTTCAGCTGTGAAAAGCCCCTGCCGGCTGTCTCTGTGTGCCTGTATTACCTAACCCTGCCTGCAAGGCTTAATAGTGGCACTCTTTAGGTGAGACGGCGTGTTTTATTCCTTTTATCTTTCAGAGAAACTGGAAGCGGCACCTCCGACCGGCGCCCAGCTCAGATACGGTGAGGTACCTGGTCTTTCGCTATAAACACTCTGTCTCACCATCTACAAGTCCCTCATTTTCTGTTCTCTGCCACTGGAGCAGACCTGGGGTCTCTGGTGTCGGTCACTGCAGGATCTGTACGACCATTAAGAGTGAAGAGAGAACGTTTCTGTGTGACGACCACCACCTCCTTAATGAGGTGTTTTTCATTAGCTTGAAAACTGTTCAGAGATTCTCCAGAAGCTGTTTAAACAAGCTAATTAATTTATTCATAGCCACTAAACTGCATGCATGTTCATTATGGGATAACTGTGGTCAAATATGCTATAATTTAAACAGTGAAAAACATGGTTTTGATACCCCACTGTGCATCAGTGATTTTGTTTAATCCAGTGAGAATTATTCAAAAGTAAAACAGTGCATGGTAATTGCACTTATCAGGGTACTGGAAGTTTCTGCAATCACTGATGTAGTGTTGTTAGTTAGACTTTGTGGTTTTTTTTTTCTTTTTCATGCAGTACTTTTGCATAATGCCATTCCCTTCGTTGGATTCGGTTTCCTAGACAACGCCATCATGATCGCTGCAGTAAGGAGACCCTCCTTGTCTGTATACAGTCCTGTCTCGTTTCCAATAAATGTTTGCACTTCAGTCCAGAATGAATACTTTGAAGCCTATTTCGAACATGACTTCTAATTTAGAAGGTATAGCTACGGAGTTTTGGTGAATGCATGTGCTTAATTAAATGTAAGACACGGTGACTATCGTGCTGTTGTATTACCAAGCATCTTGCTCACTGTGTAACAAATTTTCTTAAGGTTTCTAAAGAATTTAAGGGTATTGAGATGCACTATTTGTAGCAAATAGAGTCGTATAGGAAATGTGAGTCAAGAATGAATAGAGTAAAGGCAAACCAGGTGACACTATGTGACAATTTGGGTTTAATTTTGGCTCAGACTTCTGGATTGAGCAGCAGGGAGAGGGCAGGAGCTCTGCAGTGTGAGCCGGGTTCCGGACCATGATCGCCTTGCGTTTCTTTGCAGGGAACGCAGATCGAGCTGTCCATCGGAGTGGTGTTTGGGCTCTCCACCATGGCAGGTAGGCGTGAGGACCACAGGGGGCAGCAGGTCGCCATGGCAGCACGCAGAAGTGAAATGTGCTCCTGGTGACTATTTATAAGCTCGAAGCCAAAAGAGCATCCAGTGTGATGAAATTAAAAACATAGCGGAGCGGAGGGACATTTTCTGCCTGTCGAGTGCTGGTGAGGCCAGTGGGACGACCTTAACGTCTGCAGGAACATGAGTGTGGTGTCACCACAGCCCGGTGTCTCTCATTAGATGGTTCTCTTTCTGACCTGGACCAGTAATGCTTGCATTTTGGTTAAAGGATGTGAGTGAAGAGTATGGAGTCAAAAAAAACTAACGTGAGATCATGTGTTAGTGCCGCACGCATCACACTTATGGCTGTTACAATGGGACGCGATGTATTACATGACGGTAATCTAATGAGGATACGGGAGGGGATGAGGTCCGCAGCTTACTAGGGAAGAATTAGCATTTAGCAAACAAGACCTATTATTGAAACCAAAATAGCAAAGTTCCTCAAAACTCTGGTGGAAAAGGACTTTCCTTTGAGGTTTATAGTATTAGACTTATAAATGTTTGTGAATGATTACGGGACTCGAACCCGGCTACTGGGCATCGTCGGGTTAATGATCCATGCTTAGACCATGATGCGGACTTGGGATCTCAGCATGTTCCCTGCACAGGCTGCTGCTACCCAGAGCATCTAAACTGTGAACACATCTCTTCGTTCTCATCTGTGACGTGATGAGCAGTGAGAAAACAAACCATGAATGGCGGAAGCCAATGATGTCACACTGATGCATCCTAAGGCTGCAGCCGCGATTGGTTGGCGGTTGTGTGGATGAGATTCGCTTCAAAGTCGCGCAGGGATCCATGAAAGTCTCTCTCATTTACAGCGGCCGCCCTCGGGAACCTGGTGTCGGATCTGGCGGGCCTTGGGTAAGTGTCTGGCTTTCTGGTACTTCTGTGAGCAGCTCTCGACAGAGAGACACTTTTAGTGGAACCTTTAGTCACGTTCAGCAGGAACTAAAGCTTACCAAGGACCAGAACCACTACAGTCCGCACTCAGCGAGGGAGAAGTAAGATTCTCCCCTCTTATTTCTGTTTAGATCTATGAATGTCAGTGAGCAGATTTTCCTAGCTAGTATCCCTAGCACCTATGGAAAATGAATGGCTGCAAACAAGGATATATATAGTTCAAAACAGGCAGCTCTATCGCTGTAACGTCTCAGTATTTTGATGCTGGTGGTTCCCCGTCACCCAGGCCCCCCTAAGCTAGCGGAAGCCGCCATCTGCTAGCATCAGGCTGGGGCTCCTGAGTGTTAGCTTGTTCAGTCGGGGGTGTTCAAGTGCAACCACTCCGACTTCCATCTGCTTCTCCTACATTCCTTGAACTTCCCTAAATAAAAACAAGCTGTGTGTGTAGCTATGACGGCTTGCAGACATTGGCGTGTGTTTAGCCTCGCGGTCTCTTGTCCAGCGGGAGACGCTCGACCTTTTCGTTCGCGGCGTGTTGGAGCATGGAGGCTCGTTAGCAGCGCGCTAGCAGATGTTGGTGTGTGTTTAGCCTCGCAGGCTACGTGGAAGCCTTAGCGCACAGGCTTGGCATGCAGATCCCGGATCTGACGCCCAAGCAGGCAGACATGTGGCAGACCAGAGTGAGCTCCCACACGGTGAGTCAGCCCATCAACCCCACAGTAAGACACCTCAACCTCCATCCCCACCTCCACCTCAACCTCCATCCCCATCCCCACCTCCACCTCAACCTCCATCCCCATCTCAACCTCAACCTCCATCCCCACCTCCACCTCAACCTCCATCCCCATCCCCACCTCCACCTCAACCTCCATCCCCATCTCAACCTCAACCTCCATCCCCACCTCCACCTCAACCTCCATCCCCATCCCCACCTCAACCTCAACCTCCATCCCCATCTCCACCTCACACACAGGGCAGTGTTTCCCAACCCAGTCCTCGGGAAACCTCAGACACTCCCAGCTCCCAACACACCCGTACCAGGTATTCGTTGTCCTTGAATTGGCTGGGAGGGAGCAAAAATGTGGAGCATCTGGGGTCCCCAAGGAATGGGTTGGGTGACACCAATCTCATTGGTGACCTCAGAGTAAGTTTCCAGACACCGAAAGGTCACCAGTTCAAATTCTATGACTGGCAGAGTGATTTTACCATTGGGTCCTTGAGCAAGGTCCTTAACCCCAATTGCTTCAGAAACTGACCGACCAGCACTGCATAAAAATTTTACCAGATAAGTAAATGTGTCAGTCAAAAGACAGAAAGCTTGAGTTTTCTCACCATGAGCAATGAAACTGGCAAACTAGACGTAAATTTCCCCGACGGTGAACGGGAATAATGTCCCTGGCGATGGCTGTAACGTCCTGGTGTTCCACAGGGCAAAGCCATCGGGGTCACGATCGGCTGCCTCCTGGGGATGTTCCCGCTGCTCTTCATGAAGGACGGCGATGAACAGGAAGATGGGGAGAGTGGCCAAGGCGGGAATTCGTCAGCCCCCAGCAGCGAGTGAAACTCGCCTGCTGATCAGCTGGGTGTAGCTGCTGGACTGTAACTGACATGAAGAACACAAGGCAGACATTGTTCTGGGTTTTTAATGCTGTATCGCGGTAATGCCTGATCTCCATGAGTTAAAAATCATGCATGCACTTCATGAATGTTCTTTTATTGATTTTTAATAACGTCAGCACTCAGATGAGAAACCTCATTGTCCAGTCTTCTGTTTGTAGTGTATGAAGATGTTTCTTCTCATCATTCAGAATACACCAGCATCTGGAAGGATTCAGGCTTCAGCTTGCACCCCGAGCTGCAGTTAAACATCTCGGGGACCAGTATAGACACTGGGATGCCTCTTGTCCAGCTGAGGGGGACCTGGGAACTTTAGATCAGTTTGTTACTTCTCCCTCATTGCTCTTTCATTTCCTCTCCCCCTGTTTTTGATTCCCTCTGGTTTTTCCCTCCGTCCGTTTTCAGATTCAAAGCCTGTCTACAGTGACAGGTTATCTGTGATCATTTATGACGACATATTAAATATCAGCCAGTAAACCATTTGTTTACACATGTAATTCATCATGCATGATACTTAATGTGTTTTTCGCATTGATGGTTTATGGAGCGTCACTGACTGCACCTCAACACGCTACAGCCACGGAAGGGGAACAAAGCAGCCAGACATATGGTGTGCATGCGGCATCAGGGACAGTTTGACAGACAGTCAGGGTACAGGCAGTCTGCTTCACCACAGGGTAGTGTGCTTGTATGCTATTGTTCTATATACAGTATATATTACATTGACTGGTCCTCTGCTGGCACATTGTGGAAGTAGAAATATCGACTGAGAAGATCGGGTACATAGAAGTGCCCAAAAATGGGACATCGCAGTATGATGTCGCTCCAGCTCACCTTGGGGCAGATAAGACGCTCCTTTGCATATCGCCGAGACACATGGGTGCTGTACCCCACCCCCCCCCCACTAGTCAGCAAAGTGGCCTGGTGATGTCGCAGTGAGACAGCCAGCTCTGCCTGCCGACAGAACCATGGCGCATGGGGAGTTTGGGGAAAGGAACCACAGCCCTGTTGTCTGAAGGGAAGGGGGGAGAAAAAAGCTCTACATGGAACCAAGGAGCAGGTGGGCTAGAACCCGACCAGGATCTAAGCTACTCTCCAGAGCTGTGAACCTAAGGGTCTTATCCTGTTTTTGGGCTGTGACAGGAAGTGACAAAACATATTAACTTGTATGAGCTTTTTAGTTTATTATACTGGAAATGCTATGTCTTTATTAATATGGCTTGTTGGTTTGTGCTGGTACATTATGCAAAGGGAGTGTAAAAGCTCTGATAAGACTCGTCTCGTTTTGCGTTGTGGTGATGCTCGTAATTGCACCATTTTGACTGTTAATTTGGCCAAACGTCTGCCCAGTAGCTTGCCAGTGTTACATTGCGGGATGCTGACCCAGCCTAAGTGAATTTTATATCGGCTATGCGACCAGTCCTGGAGGACCATGACAGACATGCCTGTAACTTTACAAGGGTGATTAGATGCTCTATGACTATATAACATCTACGTACTATTCTGCAAGTTAGTTTGTCTAGTACTACTTAGTCTTCTGTACACCTTATTGAAAATAATTTCAAAACGAATGATTTATTTATTTATATGACATGTTTTTAATGATGATGGGTTACATAATTATTGTATTCCAGTCTTGTGTGTGTGTGACAAGTAGAGCTATCTGGCTACAAATGTGAGCGCTGAAATCTCCGCTAAGTAAGATTAAAAATAAGGCTTGGCAGCAACAACAGTTAACAAGTATGTATAATGCGATGTGAGATGGTCCAGCTCCCGAGTATCTTTCTACTCGGGCTGGCTGCGACCACACGTATCCTAGCAACAGGATCCACCGTAACATGACCTCTCCTGCAGCTATAGTCCCGTCCGCCGGTATGCGGATGAGACGCAGAGAGATCGTCCACCGAAACGCTCCGCGCGTGTGTTTGAAAGCCAATATGGTACGTAGCCACAGCCAGCGTAAACACCTTTTCCCACTATAGATGCATTCTAATTGGATGTTGGCATATGCATGGGAAAGTACAGATGGCGTGAACATAAACTCCTAAATAATACATTACCTAGCAACAGGGTGTCAGCTATTCCTTTAGCACTGGACTGTATCGTAAAGAGGATGGATTTCCACCGATCTGTGCTGAAATGTGATGCATGTTTACTTGTAAATAAATGCTACTAAATAAAACACTTTTATACATCAGAGTATTCTTTTTGGAACAATTGTGTTGCTCTGAGTAAGTTACTGTGAAAAGACGTCAGTAAGAAATCTGCCTTATCAATATTGTGCATTTAGGAGCAAAATGTTTCATACGGGGATTTATATCACAAAAACTTAGTTACTGCTTTAATTCAGCCATTTTTAAAAAATTGTCAACCCTTGCTTCAATAATCGTGCTTCGAAGCTCAGCTGGAATCCATGCCTTGACGGTGGTGGGTTCAAATCCCACGGCTGGCAGAGCAATCATATCGCTGTTGGTCTTATACAAGCGAGACTCTTAATGGACGCTGGACGCTGCATTCTGACAAAACTCTCACAGTACAGCTGTTTTAATGTCAATAACTTTTCAGGTTAATTAATATTTCAGTGCTTTCAATAATTCAGTGTCCTTTATCTGACAGCTGTGTATTTATTATTGTATGTGTTCTATAAATCACTGGGGGCAGAATGAATTCATGTGTTTTAGTTAATCGATTTACTTGCTTCCGCTTATTTTGCTTTCGTCTTGCTCGGGTTTTTGTGTTTTTAATCATGCATTCCATTGGCTGGTCTCGGGCTGTGCTTTTCTGTCCCCTTTGTCATGAGTATCTGTGATATTCTGCTCTATTTACAAGTGGATTCATGTGAGGCAATCAAGGAGCAATCGACCAACTGACATTGGTAATAGAAAAGTGAGATAATGCACTACGTAAAAGTGTACCGATGTCACGTGGCAGGTCATGAAGCCTTTTCTGCTTGACCTTGCTTACAGCTCACAGAAAGATGCCTAAGACCAACAAAATCTTTTGGTTTGTATAATTTAGGGCCAATTGGATCTGGGTGTAAATAAACCGGGCACTATACTAAGGTCGTCTGCTGAAATCAGTCACTTATAAGAAAAAAATCAAAGAGCGCCGATGCTAATTGAAATAGCCGCTCTTTTAGGCAGTGAGTAATTAAGTATTAAGTGAGTAATTAAGTACTAAATGAGTAATTAGGCTAATTAATTAAGAACTGCAGCACTGCCTTTTAATTAACTCAGAATTGATGGGCTGGACAAACTTCTCTGATCCCAGCTAACCCAATGACGTCCTTTCAACGTCATCTCAACGTGGCGAAGGAAAATCGAACACCCGCCTAACTTTGTGAATAAAACGTTACCCGGCAGACCAAAATCGGACGTCCAAAAAGGTCACGGTGACGTCGCTTGTTATAGCTGGGCTATAGACTAACACGGGACACACCAATTTCTCTTCGTAAAATAAACATCTGTTTATATAATTAATTTGGTCTTTTCCCTTATATGGCAACATGCACTGTGTGAAATCTGAATTTCTTATTCCTTTATAAAAACCTCAGTACATTTCGAGCAAATATGCCAGTGGTTTTTTGGAAAAGTTAAAACGGGCATTTGATGACCCAGTTAAGATTCCCCAAACATAAGGATATTAAGGCGTCTGCTGAGAGTGCGCTGCACTGACGCTTTCATCTTAAAGATGAAATTGTTGGCAGGAGTCTCTGCGGAAAGTGTCTTTGAAGATAAAAGCGATGCAAGGGCGCTCTAAATCAGTTTCTGGGTCTCCTTTGTTTTCGTTAAAACTAACATTATATACGGCTTACTTTTCTAGGAAAATCGGACAAACCAGCTCCAAGATCTGATGTGCAGGTCTAAAACATTGTGATATATTTAATATACGTGTTTTTCAGGTTGACAAAATTGCTATAGATTGTATAGAACGGGGGGGGGGCACACAGGCAGGCCTCTGACAGTAGGGATTTGGTGCCCCTATAAAGTGCTGCCCCCCTCAATCTGCCAGGGTGTCCCTGCCCCTCCCACACCCCTGCACACGTGTAATGTGGGGCGTACGCTGGGCCGGCCATCAGAGAGAAGATACACATCCTAAGGGTGTCACCTAAATGCATGACTTTACACTGTGGGAAGAAACCTGTGATGATCGGACATCAGGGAGGAAACGGACCACGTAATGCAGGAGATTACAGGTTTATCGACACAGCCGGGAGTGAACACAGCCAAAGGGGATATCCAAAATAGAAGTCGAGTCACAAGCAAAGGTTCCATAGCCGGGGAAGTCAGTCCTACACGTAGGAAGAGGACGAGGCGATGATGGGGAGGGACGAACGAGGAAGTCGGGTCGAGGGTGTAGGGCAGGGCAGGCGAGACAACAGGGCAAGATACCGTAGGTAGGGCAGGCGGGGAAGACACAAGACAGAGAAACGCTCAGCAATGTTCCAGACCATGGCAACAATACTAGTGAGGTTACTTCCGCCGGAAGTAGCGGAGTGATCACTAGGACACTGATTACGGCCGTCCCAACAAAACCTACATAAACATATGAGAACCAATAAACCTCACAGCTGCAGAGCAGAGAAAAGATTCAAACCTACCACCCTGGGGATTGGAGTAAAAAGACCTCTGACCTGTTAATCAAAAATGTGTGACTAAATACCTGATATTAGTATTGTTGATGATTTTTTATTTTTTTTTAAATGTAATAGTGACAATTAGAACAAAATATATGGTCTGCCCCAGCACCATTCAAATCCATCCATCCATCCATTCTGGGTCGCGGGGGGTCCGGAGCCTATCCCAGAGCCTATCACACATGCACACCTAAGGGCAATTTAGTAACTCGATCCAATTAGCCTCAGCATGTCTTTGGACTGTGGGGAGGAAATTAGTACACTAATCCTACAGTCTAAACCTAGAACATACAAAACTTCTATGTTCATAATCCTTAAAATAAGGGTAAACAACCTTAAGTTAGCAGGTAGCATAACTTTTTCAGTGTTAAAAATAAAATCAAAACCTCATTAGGTGTAGCAGGTAGGACTAATTATCAATATGCACCTACATTTGGCTTGAAATAAACATAACCAGTTATTTATTTTATCTGTCCTTTGAAAGTGTGCATGTTTTTGTGGCGTAACTCAGAGTTCTCTATGGAACCGAGTACGGCAATAACTATATGACATTTTCATGTTTTGGGCGCCCTCTGCTGTCCGCGGTCATCGTTATACTTTTCACGGCACGGGGACGCTTTTGCGTACGTAGCGCGTGCTTGCGTACGTAGCGGCCGGATGACGAGTTTCCGTTTTTACGTTCAAACATGGCTGCGTCTGTGATTATAGGAGAAGCACACTAAATCCTTATTGACCATGTCAAGGTCTGTATGCTTTTCGTTTTTCTTTAGTGCTTTTTATTTCTGTTACAGATACCTACTGATCTGGGGGTAAAAACCGAGAATCCTGCGGAAAAATCAGTAATGCGGGTGACATGCGTACCTCCTCACACCGTCCCACATGTGGACGTTAGCAAGCAACGCTGCTTATGTTACTCTCTGTCGCTATTGTCGTTGTCCGTTCGTATTTAGCTTGTTATTATTTTTTATGGCAGGTTTATATTTGTCTGTTTGGTTTCTGGTAGGCTGTCTAGTAAGTCTTTGCTCACACGATTTTTTTTTATCTTGCTGCTGTTCATTTTTTTCCAGACTTCATCAAATCAGCACTCAGTCACTTGATTAAAGTTTTAGAAATATACAAACTAACGAAATATGGCAGGAGAATTAAACCTAAACAATGAGGTAGTGAGGATGAGGAAGGAGATCAAGAAGGTCAGGGCTTTGATCATCCGCAAGATCACCAGACAGATCACATCGCTCAAGAATAAAAAGGGAACAGAGGCTGAGGTCCAGAAGAACCAAAGACGAGTGGCTAGACTGCAGGAGGAAATCAGTAAGATGAAAACCTTAAAACCTGATTATGTGACCAAACTTGCTCTGCAGAAGAACCTCAGCTTTGAAAAAGTTTGCAAAGATACCAAGTTGACCTTAGAGGATCGAGCAATCGCACGAATCGCGACTCATCCACATATCAATAAGAAGATTGTTGACATAAAAGCTGCAATCAAAGCATTTCAGAATGAGCGTAAAAAACCTTCTGAGGCAAAAAAGACTCAAGCTTCAGTGAAACCTATTAAAGACCCAAGAACACCAGGTAGTTTGACAAAAAACATCAGTGATAAAGAACAACACAATAGTGCAGCTGTAAAATGCCAGGATATTACAGACAAGCCTTCTGATAGGACGACCAGTTTTCTAGAACTCCTACCTCACAAAACTGAAAATTTGACGACTTTAGAAGGAAGCAACGTTGAAACTCAGCCTGAAAGAAATGTAGAGACTGATTCTAATCAAGAAAATACCTCTAAAAGTATCCAGTCAACTATGACTTTGCTAAAAGCTGATACAAACAGCAAAGGAGGAATGAAGGAACCTGCAAAAAAGAGGCAAAAAAGTACATCCTGTGCTACGGAGCAGAAGAAGAAAGATGTGGAGGAAAGTGATCTTGATCAGTCTGACGAGGACGAAGAGAAGGAGTACTTTGATGACAGCACAGAGGAGCGCTTTCACAAGCAGTCGTCCCAGTCGGAGGACAGTGATGATGATGACGACTTCTTCCTCGGCAAAATCAGCAAACTGCGGAAGAAGAAGCCGGAGTCGGGTTTAGGTGAGAGTTCGAAAAAAGCGGCCACTTCTGCAGCTGAACCAGAGATGGAGGCAAAGGAACAGACTTGCGGTGAGAAGGATGGTCAGGCCTCCAGAGCCATGAAGCTTCAGTCTGCATTCTGCAACCGATTGTCAGGTTCTGCAGGAACCTCCTCTAAAGGTCCTGGTGGAAAATCAAAGCCATCCAAGTTCCAAAAGACGATGGCTCCCACTGGGGGGAATTCAAAACTGTCCAGGCCTGAGAACCAGAAGGGAGGCCCTGACAAAAGGTCGCTGCCTTCCAGACATGTCAGTAAGGATAATGGTGGTCGACGTGGCAGCCTTCGACCTTGGGACAAGGGCCCAGGTCCCGGCAAGGAGAGACCAAAGTTCCAGAAGCAAATGCAGGGCAGAAGCTGGGCCACAACGGTTCCCCATCCTTCCCAGAATGCACCACAGACTCTCCATCCATCCTGGGAGGCGAGCAAAAGACGGAGAGAGCAGCAAGCTCAAATTACAGCTTTTCAGGGGAAGAAAATCAAATTTGATGACTAATGATTTTGTTTTATTTTTTCTGAAAAAACATTTGTTGGAAGACTAGTTGTACATCCAGTGATCCAATTGAGGAATTGTATAAGCATGCAAAGTAGATTGATATTCTGTATGTGATACTGCTTCAGCTGAACACATAACGTGACCATTATGGTATAGTTAATGATCATTAAATATACTTGTCTGCTGTCTTTATAAATATCTGTGAAACACCCATATTTGTATTTTTGTAAGACTTTCTGAATATATCATCTGTAGGTGGTTTGAGAATATAGGTGTGTTTTCTTGTTACTTTTATGTGAAACATTTTTGCCTCTGATAATTTTTAGTTGAGGAGATTTTTAATGTCTACAAGTACTTTAAGTAGCTTTAAACACGGCAGAAGATAAGGATGGAGGTCCAGGATTGTCTTGCAGCTTATTGAATCCACTTCTTTGTTCTAGGTAAGTATGGTGAGCAGATGTCCTGTACAGTATTTTGGAGAAGTTGATATTGGCACCTGCCTTTATCTGTGAAATCAGGTGATATAGTAAATGCCTCATGTGTCCATTCTTGTTCCTGAGGAAGGCAGAAAGACTAATCAGCATTACGCAGTGTAAGCTCAATTCCTCCTCATATTTTTTTGGGAAAAAAAATCATAAGGGATTTTAAGCCAAAATGTTGAATGGTTGTAATGTTCAGAATAATGCAAATACATAGAAAAATATGCACACCTTACAAGGGCCTTTTCAGTGTAGAACAAAGGGATATACCTCGATAATCCATAATATAATGCAGTGTGGTACACACTACACAGGAAGGCTGTCTATTTAGTAGCAATAATTAGAGTTCAGGTTAGTTCTCGTTAGAGTTATGGCAGAAGGGAAGAAGCTCCTGGATTAGAGGAAGGTTACAGTTAATGAACCAAAGAGTGACAGAGGATGAGAGATGGACTCTGTGACTGCAGGGTAGAGGTGGACTAGGACTGATTGGGGGAGGTTAGAGTTCTTTAGTTACCATGAAAAGACCCATCGCACCGCATGACACTGTAGTGCAGTGGCACTTGGTTGGCTGAACATATACCATTTTGGCTGTAATGCGGTTGTACTGGCATGAAATTGGTAAGTCTGACACCAGGGTCTTGGAGCACTGGGGAGTGAGCACAGTATTATACAGTTTGATCTGATATAAGGGACAGGTGGCAAAACTAGTTCCCCTGTGATTCCCTGTGACTGGAAACCACCAGGTTAATAGAGGTATCAAGGAAATTCAATGTCACTTCCTGTTCACGTCACTATACCTCAAATGGTTATTCCTGTCATACTTTAATTCATTTGAGCTAGCCGAATTCCTCAAAAGGGGGCAAAATCTGTATTAAAACCAGTATAATACGATAGTAACAAAAAGCAACAGTAAGTAGTAACTAAGACTTGTAATTTCTCTTCCAGCATGAATTAATCACTTCAATACATGATATTTCAGTCCTGACCAACACAGTAATTATAACAGCCAGTGAAGGAAGTTAAATGAAACAATGCTAACGTCAAACTAATCTGCATCGGCGCTGCCGTGGTGACATCAGCAAGCGCGTCGCGCGCATGCGGTATTTAACGTTCGCTACATCGGAAAGCAAAGAGGGGAAACGGTTTAAATAACCAGAATGATCGTTCTAAAATCTGGTAACTGTGTCCAAAGTGCAAAACATGATCATACATTTTATATTTAAAAGCGCTGCACGCTGCCAGACTGAAAACGGTGCAGCTGACTACAACGCGAGGGAATCCCCATAGTTACCCGTAAACCTTATTCGCCGATCACTGTTTAATATGTAAATACAAGCTGGCTTTCTACTGGCCACTCCCGTCGACCGTGGTCCAATGACTTCCTTGTATATTCAAAATTGCCTTGTGATTGGTTGATAACTGGACGCGTGTTCAAGTATACTGTAGGCGATTGGTAATCAGGGCAGCCAATAGGATCTAGTATGCAAATCTGGTTTGAAATCTTCGCGGGAAATCTGAGTTTCGCGGGAGGGCCTTTCGCGCGTAAACTATATCCCTTCATTCATTGTCAGCTTCCTGGAGCCATTTTCGGCCAGAAAGACGGCAGCTCGTCTCGGTTTTAAATCCTTCGCATCTGCTTTGCTCCGCGATTAATATAGAGCCGAAACTGGCTGTATCGTTAGATTAGACCCTTATCTAACACTCGTCGTAAATATTTTAGATTATACTTTGAGGGATTTTGAGAAAATCGGCTCTAAAGTAAAGTAGGGACAAAGGGCAGCCGAGCCTTTAAAGATGAGAAAAGGGATCCCCTCGGCCCCGGAGAAAGTGATCATAACAGGGGTCGGGGGCTCTGCCGTGGACAAAACCACCGTCTTAACAGCGCTGTCTGATCGCCTGAGCTCCAATTTCCCTACGGCCACGTACATACAGATCATCACCCCGCCGTCCTCTTTCACACAGACGGGCCATGTCTGCGCGTCCGAGGCTCCGGCCGGCAGCTTGATATACTCCACTCCCCACGGATCGGCGAACGGATCGGGACAGCGACCGGCTTTGGGACGGCCTCCGGTAAATACGGCGCAGGTTCCGGTTCGATTGGACCGGACGCGCGTGTATGTGTGTGTCGCGGCTCGCCTGGCGCTAATCCACCGTTCCTGTCTGAGTTAAAGGTGGCACTTTTGCTGGAAGTTGGGGGCGAGCTGTTCCGGCCTGACAGCAGCCCCACTTCTCGGGTCTAAATGTGGCTGTAACCGGGGGGAGGGGAACGTAGTTTTCGACTAACTTTTATTCCTCTTTATCGGTGCTAACGAACCGCTGGTGTTGGGGGAGGACGGAGGGGGATGGGGATAGCGGTGCTGGGGGTCATAACCGGGTATGAAAGGTCAGCCGGCGGTATAGTTCGGCTTTGGTTCGGGGGTCGGTGCGGCTGCAGCTGGCCGAGGCGGAGACCGGTAGCACACGGTCCTAGTCCCTCGTATTCCTCTCTGCTCCCCGTCCTCCCCCATTTCTGTTACTTTCAGTCGTCCCTGTTGTTGTTTCTTCTACGTCCCTCCCTTTTTTTCTATATCCCCAAACAGGCCCCATGAAGATTGTGGGGGGTCGCTGCTTTTCTCTATACCTCTGATGGCGGTTAGCTGCTAAGCTAACACGTAACAGACCCCTCCCCCCACTGTCGAAGATGAAGGTGGGGGTTACAAATGCTGTAAACGTTTTTCAGTCTGAATGGGGGGCCATTACCTGTAGCGGTCTGGTCTGTGCCCCGTATGCTCTCTCCTCTCCAGATCAGTCATCCTTGATTGTGCCATAATTATTTTTGAGATTTTTTGGTGGTCTGTCAAAACTCTAAAATGTCTGCAGTGGCAGATTTAAAGTGGTTGGTGCGGGACGTTTTACCTTGACTTCCAAAAGGGGAGGGGGGGGCTCTATACTGATGGACCTGTGTAGACCCGAGGAGAAGTAGCTTGAATGGAGGAGGGGTATTTGGGCATCCATATTTAGGTTTTTAATACACCTCCCTATCTTGTGCTGCGGTTGGTGGGCAGTTGGGATGGAAGTCAGTCTTCTACACAAACAGGGGAATCTAATCATGACAGAGACTCCCTTTTTGTGAACACTGTTGAATCGTCGGTGGATGAGAGATATTATGGAACTTTTGCTTCATTTACAGCATACAAGCATCCATTTATGGATGTGGCTGTGATGCCTTTTCAGGCTGCTAACTCTCTCCACTTCGTGAAGCTGGTGCTTTTGGTGTGGGTACAGTTCTGCTCTTGGTGATTGACTGTTATGTGGGGTATTTGACCATGAAATGCGTATTACCCGATTTAAAAGGACTGTTTATGTTTAATGGCTCTGTTGGTCCAGTAACCTTTGATGTATTTATGTACATGACTGACTCCTGTGAGGGCTATTGGTATTAAATAGCCTCCCCTTTCTGAAGGTCTTGATTTAATTCAATGGCCTTTTTCGTTTTAGTTGGTACTGTTAGGTTTATGATGTAGTTTCCGGTCTGTGGAGGGAAACGGTTTTTTTTTCGTGAATTCTCACCAGTTTAGGTGGCTTCACTGTTTGCAGTTACGACTGTTGTGTGTTTTGGAGCTTATGGAGGTCTTATCTTCCTGTGCCTGTGTACCCAGAAGCCTGTGCTGTTCCTACACATTAGTCATGACACAGGTCTGGTTGGCCTGCTTTCCAGTTTGACTCGGGTTGGTTGGGTGGGTTTTTTTGTGCCTGCCTACAGAGCCGTGATGTTTTGGCTGCAGGTTCTTACCCTGGTATTAGGTGTCCTGCTTTGGGGTTGTACCTCATACAGAATTTCGGCCACTTCCATTGCTTGATGTGGTCACAGAGGCATGTCTGGAACAGCTCGCCTTTAGTGGGGTAACTGTTCTGGGTCAGTGTCTCTGTTGATGTGGTGTCTGAGCAGTATGTATGTTTCCTGTACTTAGATCTCTGCACTTATTCTAGGGGGAAAAAGCAAAATTTTCAGCAGTGAATTTAATCATTGATGCGTCATGGATCGTCAGTACCTTGCCTTTGTCTTCTGGTCCATGTATAAGCCTGGGTCCCAGTGCAGTGCTGCCGTTTTACACTCCGTTGTGTTTTGCAGGCCAGTTGGTTTTCGGCCTACTTCCAGGCCTATGAATCAAACAATTTGGTCCTTCGCTGCAGATTTTTTAGCTGCTTAATTGTGCTGGTTGGTAATTTTTGGCTGTTGGGTATCTTAACGGGAGGGGCTGCTTCAGGTATGCTTTGTTGCATCTACATGGAAGCCATTTTGTGTGGGAGGTAGTGAAAGTAGAAGTGTGTCCCACTGCCTGTCACGGGTTTGGCGTGGCTGGAGGGAAAACAGCTCGATGTTCAGTGTCACACATGGTTCATCATGGCTTGAATCAGCACACCGTTTCTCTGCTTACCTGGTTCTGGATTTAACCAGTTTTGTCCAGGTTTTTTTTTTTTTTTTTTTTTTTTTAATTAACTTATGACATTTGGGAAAAATGTGGTGTGATCATTATGTGTTCTTACCCATTTTTAATGAAATGGAGCTTCAATGGCGGCAATTTTAAACCCCCAGAAATTGGGATCTTTAAAAGGCAATTAAAATGAGTAGCATGGGAGGCTGGGCCGAGGTGACTGGAATGCACAGATGCCATCGGGAGAGTTGTCTCTGTGGGAGTGGCATGCAGCTGTTTTCTTTAAGCTGTCTGACCTGTTAGTCGTCTTAGTCCCCTAGAAATGCCAGTTGTATATATCGACCCCTTTTGAGTTTAGTGTTTTTTTTTTTTTTTTCTCCCCCCCCCCTGTAGAATTTGGGTCTCCAGGGCCCAGGGAGGGACATGGATTTTTCACTATAAAAATTGGGATCAGGTCCCTGTCAACTGCCCTGCCTGAGCTGAGTGTTTATGGGAAGACGTCCTTTGTGCCTGTTGGTGATGGTTGTGTTTGACGGCAGACCTGTTACGTCAGCTAGTGGTTTTATCGTCAGTCTGGTTGATAGCATTATCTGAAAAGCAACATGTCTCGTGTGGGTTTTTTTTTTGCCTGATCTGTCAAATTGGGGTACTGGGCCTGGTAGGGTTTTTCTGTGTGATAAGCTGGGGTGGTGGTGACTTCTGATAGCCCCGCCTTTGCCAAAAGCCACAGACGCTGCAGATTAACTGGGAGGTGCACTGTAACTTTGACCTTAACCGTGGTCCTGGTGCAGCCAGTCGAGGTCTGATGTGGTCTGAATGAACTAGGGATCCATCTGATAGGCTAGTGGCTGCAAATTGATGATTTTTGCCCTGATTGGTGCTAATTGGCAATTGGCTAATCATTCTACTTCATCAGCTCATAAAAATTGGCCATGATTAGTTTGCTCAGTAACATTAGTTTTTGTTCTCAGTGGTGGGTGATAACGGCGATTTGTCGTACCCTGTCGAAATTGTACAATGCACATTTCAGAGGTATTGCAAGAATCTGAATATAGCACTATATTTAAATTATTATTCAGTAGGCGCTTCTGTCCACAGTGACATACCAGTAAGGCAAATGGCACATTAAATGCATGCTGTAGGAGTCGACTGGGCTTATTTGCAGCTAAGCTGAGTTTCCAGCGAATGCCCAGTTACAAGCGTATATATGCAAGGGAGTTGTCCACAGTGGCAATGTCTTCCATGCATTCTGAAAAAACTAAACAGTAACAAACACTTGTTGTTGATGCAAAAATTTGAAATCTTGCATTTAATTTTTTTATCCATTATTTGTTATAAACTCAGTTCAAAGTGCAGTTATTGACCAAAGCAATAAATGTTAGTTTATACACAAATTTTGAAACTTTTTTTTTTTTATTAGTAAACTTTTGGTATGAGTTTTTATGTCCAGTATTATAGAAGGTTTAATTTTATTACTTTGCTACAATCAGTGTTTCTTGTAAGGACTTGCTTCTTAAATGCAATTACATTGCTGCATACATTTTAAAAAAATCGATCTATATTGTGGAGCATAATTCTGCCGAATAATATTGTGATGACATTTTGGCCGTATCGCCCACCCCGAGCTGCCTACCTGCTCTCCTCCGGCTCTTTCCTTCTCTCATCCCAATAATGTTGCATGACAGGTAAAGTCAAACACTTATGGGAAGCGTCTGCTCTTTGGAGATTCTTCACTGTGTTGAATGAAGGCATTAAATTTGCAGTGTGCAAGACATTAACGTAAAGTTGTGAAAGAACTACCTCAAAAAAATTTGGAACAAATCACTTTGGTTGATGCCTGCGGAGCCATTTGTATTTGAAAAGGTATTTTCCTTGTGGAAAGCTGTCCTGTCCCTGTGGATTCTTATGGAAGATGCATATTCCCAACATTGCAGGTTTAACTGAGCAGAAACCATGCAATCATACCTGGAAACATGGAGGTCTCACTGTTTGCATGATCATGCACAAATCATCTGCTTGCTAGTCAGATGACCACAAAAGCTAATAACCTCTCACCCAGATGAGGAGTAATTTGCAGTTGTTTTTCTTTTGCACACCCAGGAAGTGAATGTCTGTTTAGCTGTTGGGTGTTCAGCATGTTGGCATTTCATAATACATAATACTCAGTGGTTAAGTTCTCTCTAGCTTTTATGAAACTGTCTACAAGCCATTGACTGGTGAGGAACCTCATGAACTGTGTTCCCTTCATCCTCCATCACCAGGCTAAAAGGCGCCTTGAACTGGACGAGACCGACCACCAGTATATCGGCGATGGCGTCAAGACTCCCCGTGGAAAAGGAAGTGTCCCCACTCCCAGTCTGAAGAGCCCCAGAAGTAAGTCTGGCCAGAGGGTGGAGACTCATCTCCTGTAGACGCTCTTGGTGAATGAGCTGTAGGTCTGGGGTTTATTAGGTTTTTCATTTCATTAAGTAGTGATGCACCAATGTGGAAATATTGGCTGGTACTGTTTGATTTCCGTCTAATATTTGATGATGCAGGAAACAAATTCGAAACTTGAATATAATTATTCAAGCAGATAATTCTGTTAATCGATTAACTGGTTAAAAACCAAACTTTATATGCAGTTCATATTCTGACTGCAGCATGGTGACACAACTCATCTCCCAGGTTACACTCACAACACAAGCAAGTGAACCGGAAAGATGGCCGGCATGTGTCAATACGGCCTTCCCAGTAGGGGTGGGTGATATGACCAAAATCTTTCGTCATATATTTTTGGTTAGAATCGCGACCCACAATAAAAATGACATTTTTTGTTTGTAAACCAAATTGAAATGTATGTAGTAACATTAATTTACTATTATTAATGATTATTCTGTCCTTGTAAGACACGTTGCTTGTAGCGTAATATAATGTACATATAAAAGCTGACATAGCAAAAGTACTTTTTAATTTCTTAATAGTAGTAAAAGTTTTTAAAGTTTCAGTACAGATGAACATTATCTGTTGTATGAACGGAACGGTACTTTGTGTGAAAATGGTCTGGATTTGCAGAATCCAACATGGCTCAGAGTAGAACACTTTGGAACCAGCACTTTCTCTTCAGCCATGCAGCACACTGTCTGATGGTGTCTGACTGTGATTCTTAGTGTGTGTGTGTGTGTGTGTGTGTGTGTGTGTGTGTGTGTGTGTGTGTGTGTGTGTTTTAAAACCAAGGTCATTGTCTTTTGTTGAAGATCTATTCATTAAGTTGAGATCCAGTGGGAGAGTTAATTGACAAAGAAAGGAGATGTAGAGACTGCACTGATGTTAGACATCATGGAGTCTGAAATTGCTTTATTTCACACTGGTCTGTTTTTATTGTACTGTTGCAGCCTCTGAACACTCAGGTGTCGTGTGATGGGTGTTTGCCAGTTTGTTCTGTCATAATGTAAAACGGCAACTGGTCATGATAAATTGTCTTATCGCCCAACACTACTTCCTAGCTCTGCTCCAGCTCCCTATGAGCTCCGGCGTTTGCCGTAATCTGCGATAACTGGATTTTTCGAGGGGAAAATTCAGCTGAATATTTGATCATGGAAGTATTTCATAGTCGCATCCCTACTGATGTTCCTGATCAGCAGCTGAACTCTGAGCTGCTCACATCTGTAGTGAAACTGATCTGTGACAGTAAGACAAATTTGACATCAGGATTATCCCCCCCCCCCCACTTCAGCGGTTATGTCTTTAGCTCTGGTGCTGCTAATTTTGAATATTGACGAAAGTCTATATCACAGCACTATCGAATTCTCGAATCTGAATGTTGATTGATTTTCTATAACTGCATGTATAAATGTTGCTGAAGTATATCGCAGTAGTACATCAATGCATGATTAAAATAGATGTCAGTTAATTCTTAATCGCAAATAATTACATAAACCTGAGTGATTGATGGTGATGAAACATGCTTGCATTTGCCATTATATTTGTTAAATACATTGCAATTCTGTTTGCCTATAGGAAGACAAATGTATCACTGGTTAGATACTTTAGTACCTTATCCAACAAATAAGGCAGCAGCTTGCTATTGTTAAAATGAATGTTCAAGTACATAAACAGAGGATAGCAGGATTTTCCCTGGTAGACAATATATACTATCCTTAACTTTACAAGCGTTTTTACCTTAAATGCTAAAATTTAGTAACTTAAGTACCACAACCTTAGTAAATATGTAAGTACTATAACTTTATGGCAAAGAGGCTGAACAAGTTAGAGTACAAAGGTAAAAAAAAATGAAAAGGCAAACCGCATGGGAAAAGTAAACAGGATAGAGGTTATATTACATCGATGGTGACTGACATATATTCCTTCAGTATTTTTACATCAAGAAGTTGAACAATAATTAGTCAAATGCAGTTTAAAGTTTGCATTCGTAGATAAAACCCACGGGCAGAATATTTGTCAGACTTAATATACATGAATTTTAGACAGAAATTTTACTTTTACATTTTATAAAATGAAAGAAGCAGCAAACACAATGTTTCTATTAGTGGTGAAGGGGAAATATGGATTTTATGATTAACTGCAATTTATGTTTTTGTTCTGCAAGGTTAATGCTACAGTATTGTGCCTTGTCATTTTTACAGTACATCTAATTTGATAGCATGTTAGTGAATGTGTCTGAAATGTTAATTGTATAGAACCTGAACTGAATCCAATCGAAATTGAATTAAATTGTGAGGTTGGGGCTGATTCCAGAATACCTGTATGTTTGTCAGATTCCAGTTTCTTTTGGCACATACCTTTGTTAGTCCTTATGGTTTGAAAGCGGTTGGTTTAGTTCTTAAGCAGCTATAACCTTGTGTTCCTCATTAAGATTTTGGTGTACAAGCATTTGGTCTCTTACTGGTTTTCATAATTTGTTTCCTGTGACTCTGCCTTTGTAAATTTGTGTTCCATTTAAGAGCTTTTTAATCATCTTTACAAGTGTGGAAAGCCGCTATATAATATTTCATACCTCTATAGTATTTCAGATTTGATTTCTGAATCCTATCGAACCGAATCATTATCTTGTGAGATGGAATGGAATCGAAGCATCTGTGCCAAAGCCCAGCTGTAGTTATGAATGTTTTTCTTAATCCACTTATGAATACATCTAAGGATGAAATCTGAAGATTCCAATGTGAGTTTTAGGTACTTGCTATTCCCAGTGGTGGAGTCAGATTCACCATGTAAAAGACGGATTTGTAATGAGTCATGTACTGAGCGATTAAAAGGGAAAGACTTTTTGTCATTTAAGGATTATGTTCTCTTGTTTTCTGCCTTTATCAATTGTTGTAAATCAATGGCATAAAATGAGTGCTGTCACGCATGCCTTATCCAACTTGGGCTTCCGGTCAGAAATGCGGAAGTGCCTAACCTCAATAGCCCAAAAATGTGATGGGAATAGATGAACAGTGTGCTAGAGAAAACTCAAACACATTATTCTGATCAGTCATGGCTATGCGATGGGTTGTGCAAGTCTTAATGCAAAAAAGAACTTGTTGCTCTAAGATTAATCATATGCATTAACATGTTCATTTTGACTGGCTTTCTAAAGAAAACAATGGGCTGTATAATATACATTTTTAAACACAAATGTAAAAGCATGGATGCAGTGCATTTCCCCGCTTAAACACGGATCTTTGGGTTTATGAACTGACAGCTGGCTTACGGTTTTTGCAACGGACTATTTTTGAATTAGACTGTGGCTTGGGTCACACACAGGCCTGAAACTGAAATGTTTAGTGGCTGGTTTATACTCTATGCTTGCAAAGTGTACTCTTGTATGTTGCTGCTTATGCTTGCATGCGTAGTTTACATCAGTCTGGAGGATTATGTCCACCAGAGGGCAGTGTGAGAACCATCTTGGTTGGCTGCTTTGGTTCTGGTCTGCCTTGTTTTGTATGAGGTTGTGACATGAAATGTTTTACACTGGCTACCTCTACAGCAAATTGCTAATTTTGTAATACTGCTTCAGCATTCTCTATTCTATCCACTGCTCTTCATATTGGTCCTTTGCATTGCCATATATCTCGTATTGAATACTGCATTATATGTAGTTAGTAGGGGTGTAACGATATACTCAGCCCACGAGACTATATTGGGTTCACAAGACGAGATGATTTTAAGAATGTTTTAAAGAACTTCAAAGAGGATATATATTACTGGAAAGCAGCCTTTTATTTGAATAATTTGAAAGACAAAAAAATGCTAAATAATGCAGATGTATGGTGAAATGTTTTAAATAATCACCATCCTCATATGCAGTAAAGAACAGAACAAATATCTAGCACCATAAAATATTTCACCGCAAACTCAAATGACAGGCTTCACTCGTATTTGACTTCTCAGTTGAACATAAAGTAGAATATAAATAAAACAATATAAATAACAAACAAAACTTTTTGTTTCCTTCACCGGTGCAGTGGATTTAAGTAAAGAGCAATGATGGTTCTGCAAATGGCTGTGCCTAGTTGTAGCGTTAGCCGCTACGTACTGCATTATTTTCCTACAGTGCTTACAGACTTCGTGTTTTGTCTGTCACCATTTATATTTTTGTACCCAAAATGCTGCCACACAAAGTTTTAAAGTATCTGGGGCATCTACTATGGTAAATCCGTCAGGTGCCGACATGCTTACAGCAGCTGATTTGCAGCGCCTTCGTCAGACCGCTTCTCACTCCGACGAGAAATCTCCTCGTTGTAGTAGGTGGTATTTTGTACTTGGCATTACGGCTGCACAACAATGGAAACTTCCATTTTCTTTTTGTGAAATGTTGCAATGTTGACAAAGCAGAAAGTTCAGAATATCTGTTATAAGTGAGAAATTGATTTATGACTGGACCAGAGAGCACATGCAGTGCTCATGCAAAGGTGGTAAACATACTAGATATTCATGAAAAGGTGCAGTCATTAAAACTGCAAAGCTTGCCAAGTTTTGTATTCTATAATATAAATGTTCTAGTGAAATGTAAAACCCCCCCCCCCACTCTTGGCAAATTTCATCAGTAAGATTTCTACATACTATGTTGACATTATGTAAATGCAGTGTCTGTACAGCATGAGGGTATGCGAAAGCCTGATCTCAGAGCTGCGTAGTGAGAATTGCATATGCCTAACTTGCGATGTCTGTTATTGCACATCACCCAGGCCTACCTGGTATTTTTTCTACTGTAACGCTGGACTGTCTTGTTAATTGTCTATCTGTGTAGACGGCATTCAAATACAAGTTCCAAGGCACTTTGTACTGTGCTTTGTACATGTGACACTGCTTTCTTTGCACAGATTGAATTTGGAAGCGGAAGAAACTTAAACTGGCATTAAATTTTGAAGTGACAGTACACAGAGGCACACAACAGCAATGAGTATTTTTCTCTTGCCTCTGAAAATATTCAATTTTTAATATCTTTTGACCACTTTTCTTAAATGAGATTCTATTTGGTTAATATTAACTGTACTGCATATAAAACCAAGACAAAAGGTAACCCTAATGCCCCCAAGCTTTCTGTTGGGACTGTTTATGCCCATAGTGTTAATTCCATATGCAGGTGCACAAACGACGCGTGGAATGAATGCAGAATACGCATGGTGACCATGATGCGTAAACGAGCGCATTGTCTGTGCGTTTCATATCGTCCAGACGTTACTTTAGTATATGACACATTGCATGTATTTTAAGCGGCACCGCTGCTCTGGTATTCTGAAATGGCAATTCTTGCTGGGGGGGGGATATTTCCGTAATCAAATATTCAGCTCTTCAGATATGCGCACACACGGGTCCGTATCCTAGTATTTTTGTAATTTGTCTGAGTTATGATTAAGATCATAAGTAAACTGTTGCGCTGGCAGGAGGACCGAGATCTGGGTCAATCACATGTCAACAGTAGGGACACATGGTGTAGATCGTAACAAAGATTTTTTTTTATTTTTTGCTAAATACACCAAGATATAAAGCAGGGACTTTGTGGCAATTTTCATTGTTGACGCTGTGTTGCAGTTCAAGTTCAGCCGTGGAGTCATTACCAGTTGTTTAACGATAATAGATTGAATAATTAAAATCTAAAAAATCTAGAGTATTACCACATTAGCAAAATAAATGGGGAAAAAAGTATCACTTTACATTTGGGACAAAGATTCAAAGCATCATAAAACACGTTCTGCAAAGGAACTCGGGAAAGATGAATCCCTATGGATTTTTTTTTTTCGTAGAATTACATTTCAGAAAAATATTAGAGCCAATAATGACAAACCGTCTTGCCCAAAATCGCCACCCAGATCCTGTCCCCAGACTAACTTCGAAGTCCCCCATGAAGGGGGATTAACACTAGATAACAGGGTGTACGTTTCTGAGACTTTTTTTTTCCCTTTAAGAATTTTTGCTTTCATAAAATATTTTTCTGTCAAAGCTCTAAACATATTTTGTTCTGTCAGTAAAGAATCCAAAAAATGCCCAGTTGTAGGAATCTAAAGTCTGTTAGAAATCCCAAATGTAGAGGTGAGTACTTCGAAAGATACCAGACTCTTATACGAACGAATTACATAAATTTGCCAAACCTTTAGTTGCCCAACCTGCCAACTCTGCACCTAAAAAATGCAGGGGGAGATCAGAGTTGTCTATTTTTAATGAACTTCTGCCGTTGCCAATATGTTAACTGATATGTCATGAATCCCTAAGGCAGAGGTGGGGAACCTGTTCCATGGAGGGCCAGTATGTGTTTTCGTGAAGGTCTCTCAATCAGCCAATCACAGTGGGTGGAGCTCAGAACCACTGTTTTTATTGGCTGATTTGTGGTCATCCCTAAAACCTGCACCCACAGGCCCTCCATGGAACAATAAATTAACCAGCTGCACTTTCATGCTGTTTTCAGTTAGACAGGTAAACTGTTATTAGTTGATCTTGTGAACTTGTTCAGCACAAGCCAAGCTTAGTTACTTGTGTTAATGAGTTGATTCTGAAATGTTTGTGTGTGTGTGACGATGCAGCTCCGAAGTCGCCATCAGAGAAGACGCGTTACGACACGTCTCTAGGTCTCCTGACTAAGAAGTTTGTCCAGTTGCTGGGCCAGTCCTCCGACGGTGTGGTGGACCTAAACCGGGCCGCCGAGGTCCTCAAGGTTCAGAAGAGGCGGCTGTATGACATCACCAACGTTCTGGAAGGGGTTCACCTCATTAAGAAGAAATCCAAAAACAACATCCAGTGGATGTAAGTGTCTGGTTTGGTTCTGAGGGTTAGGAATGCGTGTGATCATCTTGGCCTAGTGGTAGATGTCTGAGCTGATGGGGGGGGGAAAAGCATCTGCTTTCTCCTCAGGTCTCATGTAATTAGGGTCCTCTAGATCAGTGTTTTCCAGCCCTGTCCTCAGAGATCCTCAGACGGTCCACGTTTTTGCTTCTTGCCAGACGGTCCACATTTTTGCTCCCTACCGGCAATTGATTGGGAGCAAAACATGGACTTTCTGTGGGTCCCCGAGGACCCGACTGGGAAACATTGTTCTACATGTTCAGGTTTGATATTTCCTGAGATGAAGCTTCTGGCTGCAATAAGCAGGCAAATGGGGATTTAAGGATTGTCGCAAAGAATTGTCTGGGCCCTTCAGGTCTGAGCCCGAATGTGATTTAACTAACTGGGCCATTTGTGCCTGTAGGGGCTGTAGCTTGTCAGAGGAAGGGACTGCTCTCAATCAGTGCCAGACCCTTGGCCGCCAGGTTATGGAGCTGAGCCAGGAGGAGAAGAAGCTGGATGAGTTGATCCAGAGCTGCACCCGGGATGTGCGGCAAATGACAGAGGAAACGCACAATCAGAAATATCCTTCAAACTGCCAGAACTGTTCTGTAACATTTTAGGCCAGTCATCTGTCTTAACTGTTAATCTGGGTTTTGATTGGTGGTTTCTCCGTCCGGCAGGCGGTCGAAGTTACTCTGGTAATTTCACCAGTCTCTCGATGCAGTGGTGGCAAATTGGTGTGACATGTTGTTCCCTTAACGCACATCTCCACGTTTGCCTATGTCACGTATCAAGACCTCCGAAAGATCCGGAGTCTGCGGGATCAGACTGTGATCGTGATCAAAGCGCCCTCAGAGACCAAGCTGGAGGTCCCTGACCCTCAGGAGGTGAGGGCTCTGGCTCCTCACTTGGAGGGCTTAGTACTCCTGATAAGTTGATGGCTTCTTGGAGGCTCAGTGTTCTTGTGTGACCAGCGTGTTAGACGTGAAATTGCTACAGTATCCGAGATGCCATTCCTCAGTTCCTCATCGGTTCTTGGGTCTGAGCTGGCAGAATGGGATGACTTTCATTGTCCTATTTTACTCGTAACACAGGACAGCATCCCCACTAAATGTGTTTTTTTGCAATTTGGTATAAGGGAATAAATAAAGTTAAATTATCATGTCTGTCCTTAGAGTTTACAGGTTCACTTGACCAGCACACAAGGTCCCATAGATGTGTTCTTGTGTCCGGATGAGAATAACCCCAGCAGCCCCACGAAGAATAGCCCCCGCGATGTCAATGGAAACAGCCCTCCTCTTGTCAAAGTCTTACAAGGTAGTTTTGTGGCCCTAGTGTCGTATACCGAAGTTTCGTACAATCTGGCAGATATCTTGATGTGGGCAAAGTCAAAGTAATTTGGCTTGTCTTCTGGTCCACTTGATATTACTCTTGGCACAAGTCAATGTTACATTCTGCTTATCAGTATTGCTAATAGTTCAAATGTATTGATTATTGATATAGGCTAATATTTCTACATCGGTGGACCACTAGTTGGGCAGGTGCTCTAGTTGCAGTGCATGTCCTCAGGATGTTTATGAAGGTCCTGCCCCGTTTCTCCTCCTCAGATTGTCCCACGAGCGAAGCCAATAGCGGAGCACTCGGCGTGTCCGATTGTGCCGTGACGGTCACCAACATTTTACCCCTCACGCCGCCTCTTACCGGCCTCCTGCAACAGACGGAGGATCAGATCCCTTCTGCCCTGGAGGGGCCTCTCATTAACCTCTCACCTCCACTCCTCAACGAGGACTACATGTTAAGCCTGGGAGATGAGGGCATCAGTGACCTGTTCGATGCTTATGATTTGGATCGGCTTCCCCTAGAGGACCTGCTGTGCAACTGATGGGACGATATCCCCCCTGGAGGAAGTCGTATTTTTTTTTGGCGAAGGTTTATTCTGAAGGGGCCACTCTCTCTGTTCAAAGAGGTGGGCATCTGCAGGCCCCCCACCCCAGGGCAGCCTTGGATCAGCATCGTCAGGATGGCTTTGCCTTAATCCTGATTTGGGTTTTTTTTTTCTGTCTACATCCATATGGGAACTGCTTTACCAGACCAAGAGCAACCCCCCCCCCCTCCAATATACTTGTTCAGAATCTCTTGGTTGAAGCTTGAGTGTGGGAGGTGGTCCTCCTTAAGCCGGCTGCACCCCCTGCTGTTGCATTCGCATACCACTTTTGTATTTGATTGTAGCTGCCCTGAGTTTGCTAGAAGCTGTGCCCAGATGGCCGAACCCAGTCAAGGTTCGAGTGAGTTGCGTCGAGTACCCTGCCTTGCCTGTGCGATTTCACGCAGACCTGGCCGATTTTCCGGGTTGTGTCCTAGTGAGAGTCCCGGTGTTCTTCACGGATCAGTGCCTGGGCCCCGCAGTAGTGCAAAATGCTGGAACGTGCGCTCTGTTTAATCTTCTAAGCTGGTTTTGCACCATGATTGCTGGTGCAGCTGCCATTTTTCTGACTGCTAGAAAAATGCGGAAAGGAGTTACTCCCATGTGGAGATCTGGAGTATGACATGTACGTTTGTCTGTGTGAAGTGGGCTTTTTAAACATCTTTCTGTGTTTGTCTGCACTTCTACTCGCTACTTTGGTCTAGAAATGGACTCTAGGCTGTAGTGATCTCTGGTTTTACTTTATATCTAATGGAGATCCCGTGGGTTAGCAGACCCAATGGAAGGTCTCATCAGTGCTGGTTTAGCACATGCAGTTGGGCTGTGCTGCGATTGCGTTTGTCTTGAATCGCAGGTAAATGCTGCATTGCTCCCCCTGTGCTTCAGTTAAATTATTCATAGGTACTAATCTGCATTTTACAGTATGCAATATTTACTAGTATTTAAAGGTAACCTCTTTCCCTGTCATTTAGATACCCAATAGGTGGTAACTGAAAAAATTGTAATTGGAATATCTAAGCAGCGTGTCGTAGGGCTTTCGGTAATATGGTTAAATTTTAATGTATCGGTTTCTCTGCTCGTTTATGCCATACAGTGGTTTTTTGATTTATTTTTTTCCAGAAATCCTCTCCTCCCATTTCTTTTGGCAGCTCGCTCTTCCTGCAGTAAGAATGCGACGAACACATCGAAGGTTTAACAGCTTGGTACTGGTTTGACACGCGGGACGAGCGATTTTGGCGTAGACTTTCAGCACGGAGCTAACGTACTTCCTGGCTCGAGCCCCTGAGGGCTGCTGGCGTTTTCCGGAAGGTCTCGTTTGTCCGCCTGCACCTCGCATCTGTCCTGATGGTGTTTCAGATCCAGAGGAATTCAGTCATACCTGAAGTTTTAAAATGATTCTTAGCATTTAGAGGCCGACCAGGGACCTCCGGATCGGGGGATGAAGCTCTTAGATTTGGTCGGTTTGTCCTCATTTAAAACTGGCTAAATGAATAGTTGCGGTTGCATAAACATCAAAACCAGGCTTCCGAATGAAGACGACAGCCTCCCTTTCACGCCTCTGGAGGTTTCTGTCCGCTTTCCATCGCCTTAGTAAAGCCCATTATGAGCAGAAACCCTGCAGTGTCGCCTTAAAGGGCCGTATCTTCATGCAGGAGGGGAGGGAGGCTTGTTAAAATTCTCAGGAATTTAAACACACTGTAGGGATTCTGTCAGTGAAGGAACCTGACTTGTGAGAAATGGCCTCCACCACTGAGTACCGCTGCAGGGTCTGTGGTGGCAGGTGAAGCGACAGAGTAGCCAAGCCTGAGGTACTGCAGCGTGTTATGGGATTTATGCAATAGGTACTGGCTTCCTGGCCCGGTTCTGTTAGAGGATCATCTTATTTCCTTGACTGCTTGTTTTGAGTGCCTCTAAATGTCTACTTCTGAAGGACACCACTCTGGTTTTCATCCGTCTTTGATCCAAATCTCACTCCTTTGCTCTGTTTGCTGCCCCTCAGTTTTCATAGCTACAGTATGAAATTCCCTTTCTGGGTTTGGGATTGTTTTTAGTAAAGATTTTACCCCCTCCCCCGATGGACCCCACCCATCCCTCAAGCTTTTAAAAAACCTCCCTGTTTTAGCAACTGAAGTCCAGATGAGCAGCCGCTTAAAGGGAGCTGGGGTTCGGCCCAGTGTTTTAATCGGCGTCGAGCCGGAATCTGCAGCAAGCTAGCGTTCCAGCGTGTGGCTGGAGTCAAATGACAAATCAGATGGACAAGAACTTTCCAGGATGGAGAAGCAGCATGTTTATTCTCAGTCTCCCATGTTAAACTTTTGCACTGGCCCAAAACTGCTCAATTTGTGTTTTGCTTTTTATGTATTTGCATATTTACATACCCCTGACCTACAGATGAATTTCTTTGTGAAAATGGCCCCCCGTGAATGACTCTCTACCCAGGGGCTTTGTTGATTTGCCCAAAATGGCTCAAGTGCTGCCTACATGCACAATCCCAGGGGTGGGGGTCGGGGGTCAGGGGTCGGGGGTGGAGTCCTATCTTCAGGATCAGTCTTGTACTGTGAAATCTGCTGTGTGCCTCATCAGTTTGCAATAACTGTCCCAAATTAAACTCTGCCCAGTCTTAATCCCCTAATCCTGGCCCAAATATTACTGCCAAGTACGAGTGTGAAGGCTTGACGTTTAAACCCTTTTATCATATTTGGGGGGGAAAAATGATTCTGGGACTCTGCTTATTGGTGTGTTTGTATGTGCATGGAAGTTCAATGAATGTTGGGAAAATGTTAATTTTTTTTTTTTTTTTGTGTGAAGTGTATATAGAATTGAAATTGTTTTAATAAAAATGTAATTTAGCTTTGTATTGTCTGAGCGACTGCTGGTGTTGATCTGATCAGCCGACCCCGCCCCCCAGGTCTGCCGTCCTCACTGCTGGCTTTGTAGCAAGCCAGTTAATTGGTTGTGTATGTTGGCGGTTTTTTTAATTGGTTAGTGATGGAGGTGTTTTAAAACTCCGATTCCACCCTTCCTCTCTCAACACCTGCCTAACAACCAGATTCTCTCCCTCACTCTCCATATATTGATCTTGTCGTAACTGATGGGTTTGCATTTCAAATTTAAAGAAATGCGACGATCTGTGAGGCGCAGCCCCTGCTCACTCTGCTGCTGTTCAGCCTTTTATTTCTTTGGACTCGCCTTTGTCTCCCGAACCGCATCCTTGAAGCTTTTAAACTTTTTCCGTTTACCTCAAAGCTCAGGCCCGGAAGGTTCCACACACATGATTATCACTGCTTTCTTCAAGCAGAAGGTCCAAGCAGATGCCAGGACCAACGTTACTTGGTCAGACTTCTCCCGTGCCCGGCGTTTGGGAATCCGGTGTTTTAAGGTCTCCTGCTTCTGGATTGTGCTGCAGGTTGTTGGGCATGTTGGTGCATCTCACCGTGGGCTTGGTGTGAAAATCACACACGGCCGGTACCTCCGCCTCCTCCCCCTGATGGATTAAAACCTAAAGCGGTACAGAACAGCTGGAGGATTTTCTTGAAGAACCTGTCCCCCTCTGCCTCTCCTGATCACCTGGCTTGGCCCCTTTGTTCCTAACTTCCAGAAGGTGCTTGATCAGAGCGCCTCTTCTGTCATCTTAAGAGCCAGCCCAAACGCATCGACTGTCGGCTGACTTCTTCATGCTACCCTCCTATAGGCAGCGTGTGTGTGTGTGTGTGTGTGTGTGTGTGTGTGTGTGTGTGTGAAAAATCTCTCCTGTTACCTGGGTATTGATCTCTAACATTGCCTTGATATCGCAGTTCTTTTTTTGCATGTGTTTCAAGTGAGAAGGCTGGTGTGGCGACTTCTGTAGAACCTTTCCTTAAGCTTCCTGTAGTAGCTCGATGCAGTTCCCACTTGTGCCACCGAGTGGGGCTCACATCCCAGGAAATGTGGCCGATTCCTGCGCCCGCTGTGCACATAGTGGCCCTTTAAGCTCGCTGTCTGCCCCTCACGATGGCCTGAGCTCATCCCCAGGTAAAGGTCAGCCGTGCCCAGAGGGTGATGTGGACCTGGAACAGTGTGTGTGTGTGTGTGTGACCCAATATAAATAATGCAGTGATTTCTACTGCATTTATTTAGCAGTTGCTTTTACCCAAAGTGATGTGCAGTTGAGGAAGAGGGTCAGTAGGTCAATGAGTCCCTGGAGCAGTTGGAGGTTTAGAGTCCAGTGGTGCAGTGACTCTGGCATCCCTAGGATTTGTTCTGGCATTGTATCCTAACCCTGGAGTCCGCACGCTGCACCCCTAGCCGGATTGTACTCTGAAGCTATGGCTCCGTCCATGCTGTGTGTATGGAGCTCCTTTTCCTGGAGGTGCCACGTCCTTCAGATAATCAGTGTTTGGTGGTTTTAGGCCGTATTCTGTCTGCAGTGTTACTGGTGCAGTGTTTTTTTTTTTTTTTTTTTTTTTTCTTTTTTTTTTTTTTGTGTTTTTTTTTTTTTTTTTTTTTTCTCCCCTCCTAGCAGATCTGTTCTGTAATAAACCTAAAAAAGCTACATTTGCGAACCCTACAGACAAGTGTTTCATACACGTAAATGCATGTGCAGACTTGTCTTGCGTTGAAAATCCCACGCCAGCCAGCTGACCAAAGTTGGCAGCTCTGTAGCTGCATTTATAATCTTGGTTCGGTGCTCTGGGTGCGGCTAGCAGGGCTGCGTGTTCAGTGACACTATTAGCGGTTAATTATGGGGCGTGGCCTGGAACGTCGTCCGGCTGACAGCGATGATCGATTGCCGATTATCTGGATGGTGTGGGCCTGCGTGTGAACACAAGACCCCTGCGTGCAGATGTGCTGGGTCACATCTGGGTTTCAACCACCTTTGCCTCCTGGGTCCTGAGATGAAGGTTTGCAGGAACTAAACTAAGGTGAATAATGCAGTGTTCAGCTCATCTGGTTCCCTGGCACTGCCTCTTGTGTTCAAACATACACTGCAACTCAGAAGGCTTTGCACGAACTCTCTGCATTCTCTGAATTGTGATTCTGCATTTGCATGTTAGTCATCGTTTACTGGAAATACTCAATATTCTTTGCTAACAAATTTCCAATATGGTCACCATTTGAGTACCTTCATTAGCAAGAAAATATCATATCCTTAATTTACCAAAGTAACCTCTAGCACTTATGACAGCAGTGAATCCCAGACATTCTTTCTACAAGGGGGATTAAATACTGCTGAAATACTTTAGTGCTTTTAAAGTTAGACGGGCTAGATTTTGACTAACGCCACACAACCAGTTAATAGGATGTCTGTCATGTACTGTTACATACTCTTTCCATATTATAAAAGAAACATATTTTCATTTATAGTTCACTCATCTTTCCGTTGCTTAATAAGACCTGCAGTTTATGAAATAAATGGAAATGTGGTGACCTGTGCTGTACAGAACCTTTCGATGTTGGAGTGTGTGAGAATTTGCTGATGTGTTCACCTCCATACTCGGAGTTCTGTGTAACTTCCTTAAACCTATTGCATGTGGTTTGAACCCCTTGTCCTCACTCACACTCTTCCCCCTCCAGTCGGGCTGTTTTCTGATTGAGTAATAATGGCCACATTGCTGAGTAATAATAATTTGCAGGATTCTGCTCAGGCGGGATGGGGAACATGTTGATGTAGGTGATCAGCCATTTGGAAGATGCCAATGTGTGGTTCCCCAGCCTGACAATGTATCTTTTCTCTGATCCTCTACTGGACTGGAGATGCACAACCCATAGCTGGGGTTTGTACTGGTTTCTCTACTGGAGAACTTAAGGTTGACAACGTTGCTTAAGGGTGTGAAGCAGTCAGTCTTGGAAAATTTGAGGTTTTAAAGTTCATGCTCGTCGTCAGCCCTTGTGCCGTCGTCTTTCACGTTAATATCGATGAATGTGCTCATGTGTCGAAAGCGATCTTTAAAAAACCCTCCGATTTTGCTTTGTTTGAACATCTGAACTAGCTTTGGTATTTGGCCGTAGGGTCACAATGTGGGCTCTAGGTGGCAGTGTTGATGCACTGGAATCGCTGAGCACAGTGCTCGCACAAATAGTTAATGATTTGAGAGAGAATTTCTTGATATTTTACAGCTCATCTGAACTGGATGATGTCAGACTTTTTAAACAGCAGGGAAGTTTTATTGCTGACAAGGGGAGAAGCTGCTCTTGCCCAGGGCAGGTGCACAGATCCAGGCAGAAGGTCCAGAGCACCTCAAAAAATCCGTGGCACGGATCCCATGCAGCTTTAGCGCTGCGTTGGCTGATTAGCCGGCTTTTTTTTTTTTTTTTTGCAGTTTTTAACTTAATCTAAAGATTTGCTTTGAATGCGTGCAATGCCACATGCTTGATGGATGCAGATGTACACAGTGGGTTTTAGCACTGGCCCTGTCGGGCGATAATGACCATACGACAGCTTGGAGGCAGCTGCTGTGTTGATTGGCGGCCGCAAGTACAATAGGAGCCCAGCATTCAGTGTAATGTGTCACTTCCACTGTCTGCCCATAGATGCCGCTGTTTCACTAAAAAAAGCAGCTTCAGCTGAACTTAACCTATTTC